GACCACTGCTGTCCTGACAGAATGTCTGAAAGACATCGGGTCCTGTAGCTCAGTGGTTAAAGCACTCGCTTTGCAAGTGAGAGACCTGAGTTCAATTCCAGGCAGAGGGCGAAACCTTGGCCAAGTTTCCTTACTCCACACAGAGCCTAATAATAATCCCTCCAAAACCAAAAACAATAATAAATTGGTCATTTTCAATCTACGACTGTTTGTGGGACATTGCTGTGCGCAATTGGCTGCCGCGTTCGCCCACAAATATACAGTCAATTCACTTTACAGTGTGTTCTGTAAAGCGCTTTGGGACGTCCTCCCGACGTGAAAAGCGCTATATCAAATGCAAGGATTATTATTATTATTATATTATTAACTCTCCCGCACCAGGCTCCATGACCCTATCAGCCCATTCTCGCCCGACTTCACTGGCTTCCCATCACACAGGATACAGTTCAAGATCCTGGTCCACATCTTCAGAGCCCTCCAGAGATCGTCCAGTGCCTTGGGACGTCCTCCCGACATGAAAGGCGCTATACAAATGTAATCTTCTTGTCCTCCTGACGTGAAAAGCGCTGTACAAATGTAATTTTTGTTGTTGCCATCCTTCAGACTGGACATTAAACTGAAGTTCCATCCGCCAGGTCATATGAATGTTAATGATCCTATGACATCATTCAAAAAGAGAAGGGAGTTTCTTTCTCCCGGTGACCTGGCCATCAATCCCCAAAATAAAGTTGATCATTCACTTCATGACTGTATGTGGAACCTTGTTGCTGCCACAATCACCTACAGTTCACAGTACAATCTTGAGAAGCATTTTGAGATGTCTCAATGACCTTATCTTGAATGCAAGGATTAGTATTATTCCAAACAGCAAAGTAAAAGTGGCCAGGATCCTAATATAGTTAAGGTGTAAAGCAGGTTTACGGAATCTCAAAGCTCAGAGATAGCTCTGTCCCCTAAGGATATGGTTTGCCTGTCAAACATCAAGTCCTGGATGAGAGCTAACTTTCTCTAGTTGAATATCAACAAGACTGAGGCCTTCCTGTTTGGCTCCCATTAGCGCCTCCATACCTCAGGCACTCACAGCATCACACTTCATTGATCCACTCTACACCTCACAGAGCCAATACAGAACCTTTGCAAATGGCTCAAGTCTGTGCTCCATCTTAGATAAGACAACTGAGACCTTTCATGTGTCAGACACCCAGCTGACCAAAAGAAAATGGGTCAGGGTCACTGTTGTAAGGGCAGGGTGTGTTGGGGGCAGGGTGGCTGGCACTGGTGTAGGGTTTGGAGTTCCGGGGACAGAATAGTTGCTAGATTTAGAAGAGTTTATGGTGCATAATGTGGCATGCTAGTGCTGGCCAAAGCATGAACCCCTGTCTGTGTTATGTGTAAGTATGAGCAAGTGGGCTAGCGAGTAGGGGTCGGAGGGTGACAAAAGGCAACTCACTTTACAGTATATTCTGTGAAGTGCTTTGAGACACCTTGAAAACGTGATAAGGCGCTATATTAAATGCAAGGAATAATATTATTATTGCTGCTAGACTGGATCCAGCTCTCCAAGAGGTCAGGTACCCCTTACCTTGTCTGCCCTCCTGGAGGTATGAGTCAGAACTCCAGCTCTGCCCCTCCTACTGTCACTCTGCTCTGCCTCATAGTTGAGACCAACGGGAAGAGAGGTGCAGCCAGGAAGTAAAGGCATCAATCATATCTTGGGCCCCATCAGACCTCGTTGCCCTAAGCTATGACCTGATTTATCGTAATGTTAATCAGGCCCTCCCCTTGATGGCCAGATATGCAGTTAAACTGTAGTAGTTCACCAATTTTTTAATTTGGTGAACAAATTAGGTGAACAGGACTGTGGAGTCCTGCAGCTCAGTGGTTCGAGCACTCGCTTTGCAAGTGAGAGACCTGAGTTCAATTCCAGGCAGAGGGCGAAACCTTGGGCAAGTTTCCTTACTCCACACAGAGCCTAATAATAATCCCTCCAAAACCGAAAACAATAATAAATTGGTCATTTTCAATCTACGACTGTTTGTGGGACATTGCTGTGCGCAATTGGCTGCCGCGTTCGCCCACAAATATACAGTCAATTCACTTTGCAGTATGTTCTGTGAAGCGCTTTGGGACGTCCTCCCGACGTGAGAAGCGCTATATCAAATGCAAGGATTATTATTATTATTATTATATAACAGGGTTAGACCCCACTCATCCCCACTAAGCTGAATTTAAACTGAATTGCGTTCCTCAAATGGACCCAGACAACCCTTTTCCCCACACACAAATCTCGAACCCAAATTGTCAAACGATGACACGGACCTGATTCCTTTTCTTACGACCATCCAAGCAAGTCAGGTGACCAGATTGCCTCTCTCACCTGGCCAAGCCCAGCCTAAGCCTAGTGACCAATTTCTCCAGCGAGATCTTTATTTCAGTTTCTGTTCTTATTTGAGGGTGATTCAAATTTCCCTGATCGGTCGCGCTAAACAGCGATCCTAACACTGGAGGACCGGAGGCATAGCTTTCCTGACAGTAGTTCATCCCACCGTAAATTAATCATGGGAAAGGCTCATATTTTATGGTCCCGCCTGAACCTTTAAGGGAGGTGTCTGTCTTAAAGGTGGCAGACATTTGTGGAATTCTGTCCGATTTAGAAACACAGCACAGAAGGTCATTCCGACCCGAGCTGCTTTTCCACCAAAATGTTCCCTACCCTGCAACTCTAGCGCTCTATTCTCCTCTCTCTCCATCCTCCTCGCCTCCTATCCCTCCCTTGACCGTCCAACAACCTCCCGCTGCTGCAGCCTGGGAATCCTCCGTTGGACTCACCATGGCACTTGGCTGTCCAGCAGCAGCCACACTGACTGCCCCATTCCCCATTATCACAGCAACCCCTGCTGGACCCAGACCCCGGAGCCCAACCTCTTCTGCCTCATCCACATTTCCACCCTCCCTGCCAATCCTCCCAACACCCCCTCCCGTCTCACACATTCTTCTGCCAACTGCGTCCCCTCAGCATTGGCCTACAAAGTGTCCGTTCCCTTTCCAACAAGGCCCTCGCCATCAACAACATAATCATTGATGAAAATATCGATATCCTGGCCCTTACTGAAATCTGGATCATGCCAGGTGACACCTTCCCCCTGATTGAAGCCACACTACTTGGTTATACCCTCCACCATACCCCACATTCTAACCACTGGCGGGAGTGTGGCCCTCATCTCCAGGTCCTCATTTGATCTATCCCCCTACTCCTCCGGCTCATTCCCCTTCTTCAAGGATCTTACCCTCTACCGTCCCTCTAATCATTCTTTCAAAATTTCTCTGATTTATCATCCCCCAAAACCCTCTCCCTGCATCACTGACATCTCCACCCTTCTAGCTTCCCTCTGCCTCTGTTCTGAATGCCTCCTCATTCTAGGCAACTTCAACCTGCACTTCATCCCCTCTTGCTCTATCTCCACTGACTTTTCCTCTCTCCTCTCCCAACCTATCCCTCCACATCCACTCTGCCACCCATGTTCATGGCCACCCACTTGTCCTGGTGATTACCTGAGGCTGTTATCACCCCTATCCTAAAACAACCTTCCCTGGACCCATCCCTGCTCACAAACTACCGCCCCATCTCCAACCTCCCCTTCCGTTCCAAGGTCCGTGAAAGAATTGTTGCTTCCCATCTTCATTCCTTCCTCTCTTGCCACTCCCTTTACGAACCCCCTCCAACAAATGACATTCTGCCCATCTCCCAACCCTCAGCTCAGGACCGAAACACTGATTGTCCAACGCCTTGGGATGTCCTCCCAACGTGAAAGGTGCTATATAAATGTAATTTTGTTGTTGTTGTTGCCTTCCCCCACCCCTGCAATATTGCCCGACTTCGCCACTGCCACACCCCTCATCCCACTGAAAGCCTCATACAAGCCTTCATTACATCTTGGCTCGACTATGCCAACTCCCTACTTGTCAGCCTTCCTAAATCTTGCCTCCACAAGCTGCAGGTTGTCCAGAACTCTGCAGCTCATGTCCTCTTGCGCACCAGGCTCTGTGACCCCACACACCCACCCTCGCCCGGCTCCGCTGGCTCCCCATCCTTCAGAGGACCGAGTTCAAAAGCCTCGTCCTCACCTTCAAGGCCCTCCACGGCCTTGCTCCCTCCTACCTCTCTGACCCGCTGACCCCTTATCAACCTGTTCGCTCCCTTCGCTCAGCAGGCTCCAACCTGCTCCATGCCTCTCTGCCACCGCCCTCTGGAACTCCATCCCACATTCACTTTGCCTCGCTCCCTCCCTTGCCTCCTTCAAGGCATGCCTCAAGACCCTCCTCGACCGCAGCTTCGTCCACCCTCCTACCCTCTCTGCTCTCCACCATCCCTGATCCCAACCTCCCACCCAACCCAACTCGGGTCCAAAACCGACTGTCCAGCACCTTGGGACGTGCTCCTGACGTGAAATACAAATATAAAGATTGCTTTGCTGGGGAGGGAGTAATAATCTTTCCCCCCAGAAAATTTGATCCCTCAACCCACGACTGCTTGTGGGGGGCGCTGCTGTGCGCAAACAGCTGCCGCGCCTCACCCACAAAATATACAGTCGCTGCACTTGACACGTGCCACACGCTGTCTGTGTGTCTGTCTGTCTGTGTGTCTGTCTGTGTGTGTGTCTGTCTGTCTGTGTGTGTGTCTGTCTGTCCTGCAGCGTTGCTCTCGCCACCGCGTGCGGACAGACAGACAGACAGACAGACACACACACAGCGTGTGACACGTGTCAACTTTTATGAATGAATCAGATTGGGATCACCGTCGCCCCGGGCAACCGGTGGGGGCGGGGCCAGGAGGCGGGGCCAGGGCGCGGGGCACTCTGGGAGCGGGCGGTCAGCAGGTGCCGCAGTCATGGCGGCCTACGTGCGCTTCGGCTCCGTGTGCCGCGGCCTCGGCGGACAGGCGGCGCGGCTCTGCCCGGCGCGGCTCTGCCCGGCCCGGCACTGCCCGGCCCGGCACTGGGCTTTCCGTGGGCACTCGGTCCCTAACGGAGGAGCGGCCGACGGCTCCTCGATCAGACGCTTCCATTATGTGGTCGCTGAGGGTGTCCGGGGCTGCAGTCGGCGCAGGACGGTTACCGGGGCAGTGAGCGGGGTCCGGGCCCTGACCAGCCCCGGGATTGCCGCCAGCAACGGCTCCGGCCTCGGCCTCTCCGCCGCCGGACAGCAGGCTCGCGGCTTCCAGGGTTTCAGCGACAGGGACGGCGGCGGCTCGTCTTATTCCGGAGAAGATGGGGTGGAAGGCGGCGCTGGAGATGAAGGAGGAGGCGGAGACGCCATAGCCCCCACCATGACCGCTCTGTCCCCCATGATCGTCCCGGATGTTTTTCCCAATGTCCCTCTTATCGCAGTGACCAGGAACCCGGTTTTCCCGCGGTTCATTAAGATCATTGAGGTAGGACACGGTCTGGCGTCTTGTCCGTTACACTTGGAGTCTCCCGGTGTCCGGTCAGTTCAGTGCACAAAACAATTTAAATGCCGTCAAAAGTGTATTTGTCAAACGTTTGGCAATTTGGAACAACTGATGGGGATGTCGGCCTCAGTGTGTACATGTGGGAGGCAATGCAGAGCAATGTCCTCGAATAGTTGCATCAGATGTATGTTTGTCTCATGTTGAGATTCTGATTAGATTACTTTTGGAGGGGGTGGGGGTGGGGGGAGGGAGGGGGTGGGGGAGGGGGTGGGGGGGGGGAGGGAGGGGGTGGGGGGAGGGAGGGAGGGGTGGGATGGGGGGAGGAGGAGAGGGGTGGCGGTGGGGGTGGGGGGAGGAGGAGGGGGTGGGGGAGGAGGAGAGGGGGGAGGGGCGCACAACAGGATTTGCTTAACCCGCAGGTTATCAATTGAAACTTGAACATTTTGAAGGATATATTGATAGAATATGTAGAGGGAATTCTCAGTCTCCACAGGAGCCTTCACACCGCGCGCGGTCCCCCTGGTAACCAGTCCACTGAGAGGTCGAGTCATGGTGGATGTGTTTGCTGCTCAGTTTGGGTTTACAGGTTTTATCAGAGAAGAATTTACATTTCCCTGATGTAAATGAGCAAATTAAATTATAAATTGAGTTTTTTTCACTGGGAGATGGGTAGGAGGGGATCAAATAAACAGTTCTGAGAGGTTTGAGGGGATAAATAGTCTAAGATGATTACATCTGGTTGGTGACTGGGTAAATAGCAAACATAACTTTAGAACTGTCACTTGTGGAATTTGGGAAAACTAAATGTTTTTCATGCAGTGGATTATTACAATATTAAGTACATTAAGTGAATATTGAAACTGAGACAATAACATTTTAAAATGGAATTGGATAAACATTTGAAGCGGTAGATGTAAAAGGCAAAGTATTTATCTCCAGTGAAGGAGCTAACACCCGGATAGGCTGAATGGCGCTCCTTTGCTGTATTTTAATTTAATTGACTCTATTCAATTAAATTATTTTAATTGATTCTATTCTATGTCTATTCAATAACGCTTTAATCTAATCGTTCTTGTTCTTTCAATTTAATTCACCTCAATGGGTTTCCAATGTATTTCGGGGTACTCAAAATTTAAAATGTGTGTGCTCCCAGAATTAAAGTGGATGTTTATTTTCTTTGTAGGTGAAGAATAAAAAATTAATTGAACTCCTTAGACGAAAGGTGCGTCTGGCTCAGCCATATGCTGGCGTATTTCTTAAGAAAGATGACAAGTAAGACATTTAGGTTCTCTAAGATTGTGTAAAACTTTTGTTGGGCTGCGTTGGATTATCTCCTGCTGTATGAAACTCCTCCCTGAACTCTCTGTCCTGACCTTCATTCTCTATTTTCAAACCCCTTTTAAAAACTTATCTATTTGACCATACTCGGTTACTTCTGCCTTCCCTTCACGCTCTGGTTCCCACCCTGTCCCTACGGAATGCTTTAAAGTTATCCATATGTAGGCGCTATACAAATTACAGTTTTTGTTGATTACACTAGTGTGTTACAGCGTTTTAGAAGGTTGATTATGCACTAATACATTATTACCCCTTTATGGCATTGGTTTGCTTATAAATTGTTTGCCCTGTGGACTCGCAGTTGGCTTTGGCAGCCAGCTTTCAGCCCACTAAAAAAGGTCAATTTTTGTGTTGTCAGGTTACCATCCCTTCTTGCTTGCGGATGACCTGGAAGTCAGACATTTTATAAGCATGGGTAGTTTCTGAGCAGCAATTTACAGTAATAATCTTGCCATTTCGAAAGCCATGATTAGCCATGTGAGTGGAAATAGTCTTGCATTCTCCATTACAATCTTTCTTGCCTTTATTGATATTCTGTGATATTTGCTCCTTAGAAGTTACCTTCTGAAATCCAAATACAGTAAACAGCCCCCCTCGCACTCCCACTCCCGAGCCCAAATGTGAACTCAGCTAGAACAGGCCCAAAACCTAAACATTTTTTAGAAAATGTCCATGATCCACAGTTTTCTGCAAACTTGCTTATCGACTCTGGCCATTCTTAATTGTTCTAATGCGCCAACAGGTGCTGAGCAGCCTTACTGCCCTTCCCAGTGGCCATGGACAGTGACTTTACTCAGATTCTTTGAATCCCATGAGCAGAAAACAGCATATTCACTTAGCCAGAAACACTTCTAACAAGCTCCAGGACTCCAATATCAGAAGAGACATAAATAGTATAATTCTTGATACAGTGCCTTATCGCATCTTCCAGGCGTTTCAAAGCGCTTCACAAAATATACTGTAAAGTGAACTGACTGCTTATTTTGTGGGTGAAATGTGGCAGCCAATTGCGCACAGCAGCGTCCCAAAGTCATGGATTGAGTGACCCAATTTATTTTATATTTTTTGAAGGATTATTGCCCCTAGAAAAGCGATCCGCCAATCAACTAACAACCGGGTTCCTACTCACTGTTTAGGTAAACAGAGGCGTGTGGAGTAAGGAAACTTTCCCAACATTTCGCCCTGCCAAGAATCGAACCCAGGTCCTCTCGCTTGCGAGGCTTCTAACCATTGAGCTAACAGGACTCCAAATAATATGCTTAAACCCCAGCCAGCTGGACTGCATCTCTTCCCCTCCCACTCTCATCCCATTAGTCCGGCTGGGGTTTAAGTATATTATGTCTCAGAGGCTCTTCTTATAATGGAGTCCTAGAGCTTGTTAGAAAACCCTTTGGGATGCTGCCCATTCCTTTAATTGGCTTCTTTAAAAGCTACTCTTACTGTGCCAGTGCAGTTCTTTCTCCTCCTCCCTCCCTCACCCCTTTACTGGCACAGCTGCTTGTTATGGACTGAGTGGTTTGTCCAGTGTCTTTGTGGCTCACAACTTGTATGTCAGGCCTGGCTCAGTTCATATGACTTTCATCTTGGAGTCAGAAGGCTCCATGTTGGGACTTGAATTCGCATAATCTAAGGTGACATTCCTATAAAGGAAGTGTCACTTTAGGTGGAAGTGTGTTGCATTGTCTGAGGTGTCCTTCAGATGAGATGTTAAACCAAGGTGCCAAATGCAAGTTTTTGAACAGAGAAGTGAGTTTCTCCCAGTATCCTGGCCAACAATTGCCCAAATAAAATTGGTTACTTGTTTTGTGGCTGTTTGTAGGACATTGCTGTGTACCGTTGGGCTGCCGTGTTTGCCTACAAAAATACAGTTGCTACACTTTCGAGTAAATCCTGTGAAGCGCTTTGGGACATGCTCCTGTGAAGGTGCTATACCAAATGCAAGGATGATGATTATTATTAGAGTTTTTTTAGTGCTTTATTCCCATCAGTCTGAGACAGATTTGAGGTTTCAGAGCTAATCTCCAACTGGCAGTTTATTCAATTAATTCTGATGCATTATACTGTTACCCTCAGTGTCTCAGAAACCAATCAAAAAGATTTGCTTAGTTGCTTAATTCTTGTGTAGTTTCTGCTTAAAATTTGCCGTGCAAGTCTGAAGTGGTGCAGGATACAGACGTGAGGGTCCTTTGAATTGCTCTGTGAAGATTTTTTTTTCTTCCAAATTTGCAGCAATGAGTCTGAAACTGTTGAAAGCCTGGAGGAGGTGCACCACACGGGAACCTTCATTCAGATCCATGAGATGCAGGATCTCGGCGACAAACTGCGCATGATCGTAATGGGCCACAGAAGGTAAGAGGGTGTCACTTGGCAGGGGGGAGGGTGGGGCTGGGCAGGGGGGAGGATGGGACCAGGCAATGGGGAGGAGGGAGAGGGGAGGCTGGGCAGTGAGTGCTTCACTTCATGGAACTGGTGCGGAATTTCTGTGTCTTATTGACAATCTGCAAGTTCGTCAAACCTCCAGGCATTCACTCCTCTGCTTCCTCTCTCATCACATGTGTCTGCCATTGCCTCCCCCCCCCCCGCCACGCAGGCTGCTGACACTCTTATCCAAGCTTTTATCATCACCAGCCGCTAATGCCCTGCTCACTGGACTCTCTACACAAGTTGCAGACCATCCAGAAGTTTTAAATTCTTCTGATGAACGACAACAGGCTCCAGGAGCCAGTGTCCCTCATCCTCACTCACTCCGTCATCCCTCAAACCCCCCCCCCCCAAGAATTTTAGACTCTTGTCCTTACTTTCAGTGTGTCTCCACAGCCTCACCCACCCAGCCTCTGCAACCGCCTGCGATACTACTGCCTCAGCTGCTACCTTTGTTTAGGAGACACTGGGCAGATGGGTGAGCTTTCGGCCAATCTGCCCCTGGTCTCTGGTATTCCATCTCACAGAGTCCATCCCATTTTGCCTCTTCCCTTTTCACCTTCAAAACCTGCCTTAAAACCTATCTTGTCGACTGTGCTTTCGCCACCATTCCCGCAGCCAGGACTCCCAGTTTCAAAGTACTTTGAATCACTGCTTCGTCCTCTTAACATAACTCTCAATTGATTAATTCTGTAAGTTTCTCTGTCACATAGCGTAAGGTTAAGAAAGGAGGTTTGTTTTCAGTCATTGAGCGTAGGTGAACTTTCATGGTGTTGAATTTCCACTTGACTCTAGGATCCGCTTAAACCGGCAGCTAGAAGTGGAGCCCGATGAGCCATTGCCAGTTGAATCAGAGGAGAACAAGCACAAAGCACGCAGGAAACTAAAGCGTGTCCAGAAACAGGAGGAAAAGGGATCAGACACGGGAGTCTCGGAGTTGCAGATGAGTGTGGAGACGATCACAGGTCCAACAGGCGAAGTGCTGATGGTGGAGGTGGATAATGTGGTTCACGAGGAATTCCAGATCACAGAGGAGGTGAAGGTAAATGTGAAAGGAGGGATTTGAAAAGCGCAAAGTCTGAGAATCTGAAATAAATAATTGAAAATGCACAGCAAGGCATGAAAGAGAAAGAAAAAAATTTGATACAGCGCATTACCATGTCAGCGAAACGTCTCACGGTGCTTACAGGATTTATTGTCTAATGATTATTATTAGGCCTAACACAGCAGCCCAATTAGCCCTGGCCAACAATCCCCCAAATAAACAAAACACAAAATACTGCAGATGCTGGAATCTGAAACAAAAACAGAGAGAGCTGGGAAATCTCAGCAGGTCAGGCAGCATCTATGGAGAAAGGAAAGTGAGTCAACGTTTCGGGTCAGAACTGGCGAAATAACTGGTGAATCCCCCAAATAACATTGGTCACAGCTGTTTGTGGAATATTGCTGTGCGTAATTGGGCTGCTGTGTTAGGCCTAAGAATACATAGTCACTAGATTTCACAGTAAATCCTGTGAAGCACTGTGGGACATTTCGCTGACATGGTAATGCGCTGTATCAAATGCCAAGGATTATAATTATTTATTTGAATTCCTGCACAGCACAACTATCACAGCACATGTAAATGCAAATTGTTGTTAATTTTCTTTAAAGAAAATCAGCTCCACTATTATGCACTGAACTACACACAGCTCTTCTGTTTGTATGGAAAGAACTTTGCCATCTCTGCACACATCCAGGACTGAAGGGAGCTGCTGAGAACCTGAATGTTTTAATGTGAACCAACTTGCAAACTTTTACAATTTTCGATTGGAGTTTTATTTAAAATGTGAATTTAAAATATGTAATTGATGGATTTAAAACCTTTTATTTCGGGTGATGATTTGATGCACTGACAGCTGCTAAACAGGGTTTGTGTTTTCTCATCAGGCACTTACAGCGGAAATTGTCAAAACCATCCGGGACATCATTGCTCTGAATCCGCTCTACAGGTGATTGATTATTCATTATTATTAGAATAATCCTTTCAAAAAAGTAGTATTAATAATAATTTGGTCTCTCAATCCACGACTGTTTGTGGGACACTGTTGTGCGCAATTGGCTGCCGCTTTTCGCCCACAAAAATATAGTCAATTCACTTTGCAGTATATTCTGTGAAGCGCTTTGAGACGTCTCGAAAATGTGTTAAGGCGCTATATCAAATGCAAGGATTATTATTATCTAGAGGCTAGAGCCTCCCAGTCCCAGTTATTGGAACAATAATTGCCTGTGGAATCTTAATAATGTTAGAACCTATTGTCAATCTTCAACTGCTGATGTACGCTGTATGTCTTTGCCAGGGAGTCGGTGCTGCAGATGATGCAGGCGGGACAGAGGGTGGTGGACAATCCCATTTACTTGAGTGACATGGGGGCAGCGCTGACTGGGGCAGAATCGCACGAGCTGCAAGATGTGCTGGAAGAAACCAATGTAAGAGGCTGCCCTAGTAGGAAACGTACCTCAGCTTCCTCTTGACAATTCTCCACAAGCCAAACAACAACAACAACAAGATTCCATTTATAAAGCGCCTTTCACGTCAGGAGGACGTCCCAAGGCGCTGCACAGTTGGGTCATGACCCGAGCAGGGGGGAAATGGTCAGGGTGAGGGGAGGGAGGGAGCGAGGAGGGGGAAATGGTCAGGGTGAGGGGAGGGAAGGGAGGGAGCAAGGAGGGGGAAATGGTCAGGGGAGGGAAGGGAGGGAGCGAGGAGGGGGAAGAGAGTCGAGAGGGGAGCTGAAGGCACAGTCAAAGAGAAAGGTTTTGAGACCGGCCTTGAAGGAGGAAAGGGAGGAAACAAGGCGAAGGCACTGGGGGATGGAGTTCCAGAGCCTGGGGGCTGAGAGGGTGAAGGCCCGACCACCGATGGTAGGGCGGTTGGGGCGGGGGACGTGGAGCAGACCAGAGCCAGAGGAACGGAGGGTACGGGCAGGTAGGTAGGGGGATAGTAGGTTGGAGAGGTAGGAGGGAGCAAGGCCGTGAATGGCCTTGTAGGTGAGCCATATAGAGTAGTAATCTCACCAGACCACACTCATTGGATCAGAGTCTAGTACACTCTCCCGAAGTATCCAGTGTGGGCCAGTGACTCGTCCCACAATAAATCTGACTCTGTGCTGCTGGATCCAATGGTTCAGATGGACATAAAAGTTGCTCTGTACTTTCCTCATCCAAAGTCAGAAGGCACAGATTAATTATCCATGCATCTCAGTGCTGTTTGTGGGCCGATGCTGGCATTACAACAGTTACTATACATTGTGTGAAGAATTTTGAGACATTACATAAGGCGCTCATTTGACAGAAGCAAACTAGGATCCTCTCTTTACATCTGACTCCATCTCTCTTTCTCTCTCGTAGAATCCTGTAGGTCAGTTGTGAGAGCATTCACCTTGCAAGAGAACCAGGGGTCAATTCCCAGCCAAGGCGAAACGTTGGGCAGGTTTCCTTACTCCACACGCCTCTGTTTACTTAGCAGTAAATAGGAACCTGGTTGTTAGTCGATTGGCTAATCACTTTTCCGGGGTATTAATCCCTTCAAAAAAATAATAATAATTTGGTCCTTCAATTCACAACTGTTTGTGGGATGCACGCTGCTTGCGCAATTGACTGCCGCATTTCACCCACAAAATATACAATCAATTACAGTATATTCTGTGAAGCGCTTTGAAACGTCTCAAAGACATAATAAGGTGCTACATCACAATAAGGATTATTACTATTGTTATATTATTATATTTTTATTATGATGATGACCTGCGGGTGAATGCCGTGCCAGCATGGTTGTCTGGCTGAAGTACCGCAACTGTACTAAAGGGGACAGAAGGACAAACCTGGGAATTACAGGCCAGTCAACCTAACATCAGTAATGGGGAAACTCCTGGAGACTAATCCGGGACAGAATAATCTTCACTTAGAAGAATATGGGTTAATTAGGGACAGCCAACATGGATTTGTTAAAGGCAAATCTTGTCTAACAAATCTAATAGAATTTTTCGATGAGGTAACGGAGAGGGTGGATAAAGGTAGTTGGTGTAGTTTATGTGGACTTTCAAGAGACATTTGACAAAGCGCGACATGAAACACTCGTAAGAAAGATAGAAGCCCATGGTATAAAAGGGACAGTGGCAGCGGATCGAGAACTGGCCGGGAGACAGAAAGCAGAGAGTTGTGGTGAACGGCTGCTTTTCTGACTGGAGGGAAGTGTACAGTGGTGTCCCCCAGGGATCAGTATTAGGAACACTGCTCTTCTTAATATACGTAAATGATCTGGACTTGGGTACAGCAAGTACCATTTCCAAGTTTGCGGACGACACAAAGTTGGGTAGGGGAGTAAACAGTGAGAAGGATAGGAGCCAACTGCAGGAAGACATACACAGAATGGTAAAATGGGCGACACATGGCAGATGAGTGTCAATGTGGAGAAATGCGAAGTAATGCATTTTGGAAGAAAGAATGAGGGGAGCAATATAGGCTGATAATACAATCTTAAGGCGGGTGAAGGAATAGAGAGACCTGGGGATGCAGGTAAATGAATCCTTGAAGGTGTCAGGACAGGTAGATACAGCTGTAAAAAGGGCATATGGGATACTGGGCTTTACAAATAGGGACATAGAGTACAAGAGTCAGGAGGTTATGATTAACCCATATAAAACACTGGTTAGGCCTCAGTTAGAATACTGCGCCCAGTTCTGGGCACCACACTATAGGAAGGATGTTAAGGCATTGGAAAGGGTACAGAGGAGATTTACGAGGATGGTACCAGGAATGAGGGACCTTGATTATGAGGAAAGGCTGGAGAGGCCGGGATTATTCTCATTGGAGCAGAGAAGGTTACGAGGACCTAATAAAGGTCTTCAAAATCATGAGGGAATTTGATAGGTTAGAAAGGGAAAAACTGTTCCCACTGGTGGGTGTGTCGGTGACTCGAGGTTACAGATTTAAACTAGTCTCTAAAAGAAGTCGAGGGGAGGGGAGAAGAATTTTTTTCACACGAGTTATTCGAATCTGGAACACATTGCCTGAAAGGGCGGTCGAGGCCGATTCAATAACTACTTTTAAAAACACGGTAGACGGGTATTTGAGGAGGACGGGTCTGCGGGTTATGGGGAAAGGGCCGGGGAGTGGGACTGACATTAATTGCTCTATTCAAAGAGCCGCACAAACTCGATGGGCCGTACGATTCTATGATTCTATGAACTTGGCAAAGTACTGGATCCCTGCCTGGGCAACTGCCCCTTTCAGGAGAGCAAGGAAATGACCGTGTCCAGTGGTAGTAATTAGCATCAGATCCATGGTGCCTGGTATTTGGGTTTATCCTTTAATGTTAAGGCAGCAACAGATAATGTCCCTTTGTGTTTATCCTCTAGATTCCAAAGCGCCTGTACAAGGCCCTCTCTCTCCTGAAGAAAGAGTTTGAGCTCAGCAAACTGCAGCAGCGCCTGGGGCGAGAGGTGAGCATTGTTCGATTCCTTTAAGGTTTCCCTTTAACCCAGTCACAAGTCATCGAGAGGAATTCATTGTGCTGGTGAAGATGAAGACCTGTTTTTCCCTTCCTGCCCCACCCCACCCCCCAAAAAAAGTGGGCAGTAGGTTCAGAATCTGGCTCAGATCTCCTTAACTGGTCACCAGTAATGTCCTACAGTCAGGACACTTACTCCATGGCTGTTTGTGGGACATGACATGACACAGTCTCCCCACTTTACGATACGTAGATTCATAGAATTATACAGCACAGAAAGAGGTCATTCGGCCCATCGTATCTGTGCCGGCTCTTTGAAAAGAGCTTCCAAATGAATCCCACTCCCCCGCTCTCTCCCCATAGCCCTGCAAACTTGTCCTCCCAAATAATTATCTACTTCTCTCTTAAAAGTTGTTGTCGAATCGTCTTCCACCAGCCTTTCAGGCATTGCATTCCAGATTCAAAGAACTCGCTGTGTGGGGAAAAAAATCGCCTCACCTCTCCTGATAACTGAAGTCCCTCATTCCTGGTACCATCCTGGTCAATCTGCTTTGCAACCTCTCCAATGCCTTGACATCCTTCCTAAAGTGTGGGGCCCAGAACTGAACAGTCTCTGAGGCCTCACCAGTGTTTTATATAAAGGTTCATCATAACTTCCTGACTTTTGTATTCTATGTCCCTATTTATAAAGCCTGGTATCCCGGATGCTTTTTTAACTATCTGCCTGTCCGGCCACCTTCAAACATTTACTATATGACCCCCAGGTCTCTCTGTCCCTTCACTCCCTTTAAGATTGTAACGTCAGCTTACATTGTGGAGTCCTGTAGCTCAGTGGTTAGAGCACTCGCTTTGCAAGTGAGAGACCTGAGTTCAATTCCAGGCAGAGGGTGAAACCTTGGCCAAGTTTCCTTACTCCACACAGAGCCTAATAATAATCCTCCAAAACAAAACAATAATAAATTGGTCATTTTCAATCCACGACTGTTTGTGGGACATTGCTGTGCGCAATTGGCTGCCGCGTTCGCCCACAAATATACAGTCAATTCACTTTACAGTGTGTTCTGTGAAGCGCTTTGGGACGTCCTCCCGACGTGAAAAGCGCTATATCAAATGCAAGGATTATTATTATTATTATTGCCTCTCCTCATTCTTCCTCCCAAAATGCATAACTTCGCATTTCTCCACATTAAACTTCATTTGCCACATCTCTGCCCATTTTACCAGTCTGTCTATTTATATAGATTAAAGAGATTATATAGATTAAAAAGAGCAGTGGTCCCAATACTGACCCCTGGGGGACACCACTGTACACTTCCCTTCAGTCAGAAAAGTGAAGCGCTTTGAGGCATCTCGAGATAAGGTGCTATATTAAATGCAAGGGTGATTATTATTATTGTTACATCTGCAGTTGTAATCAGCTGTCACTGCCAGACTGAATTACTAACCCTGTGTTCTCATTTCTACTTGACTTGATGTGTAACATGCTGGTAGCTCCAGTACTGCAGTGTGAACACTCTGATTGTTCTCAGGTAGAAGAGAAGATTAAACAGACTCACCGCAAGTATCTCCTCCAAGAGCAGCTGAAGATCATAAAGAAAGAGCTTGGTCTGGAGAAGGAAGACAAGGACGCCATTGAGGAGAGGTTCCGGGAGCGGCTGAAAGAGCTGGTGGTCCCACAGCACGTTATGGAGGTCATTGATGAGGAACTGAACAAGCTTGGCTTGCTCGACAATCACTCCTCTGAGTTCAAGTAAGGGAGGGCAGTTACTGGTCATCATACACTCAGTGGGTTTGTGGTTGGGAAGAGGTTGTGAGCTGAGGAGATGGATTGGATTGGATTTCACACTCCTGCCATAGCCCTTTGGCCTGAGGTAAAAGCAGCCCCTTGTGTAAATGCAAAACTTGTGCAGAATCCATTTTGAAACTAAGAAAAGTTATTGACTTGTGTGGTTAGTGCAGTGCTGCCGGCCACTGAATGACCAGTGAGAGCAATCCTGCTGCAGTAGCAATAACTGTGTGGTTCACAAGAGAGTGTCAAGCTTCACTGAGCTACGTTGTGCATCAGTGATGGCTTTCTGCCAGGCTGGTACTGGGAGCTCATTCTAGAAACAGACTAAATGTTGACGTGAGTTTTAATTGCTGCAGAATGGATCTGCTGAATCCAAAGGCCAAAGTCTGCTGGTAAAGCAGAGTCTGCAGTGGCACTGACCAGAGCTGGATTTCATATTTACTGTTGTAGTTTTTATATGAACCATTCTTGCTTCAAAGCGACTAGTTTGGTTACTAATCGCTGCTATGTGAAGGTACGTTTTATTGGCTGTGGGTTGTGTAGCTGCTGACACTCAGTAACTTCTTCCCTCTTTCTGTGCTGCAGTGTAACCCGCAATTACCTGGACTGGCTGACAACAATCCCCTGGGGCAGATATAGTAAGGAAAATCTGGACTTGAGCCGAGCCGAGCAGGTGCTGGAGGAGGATCACTACGGCATGGAGGAGGTCAAGAAGCGCATATTGGTACGAAAATTATAGCATTGCGCTGAGGAGGGCCTTTACTGTCACATGTTGGTGGAGTCCTGTAGCTCAGTGGTTAGAGCACTCGCTTTGCAAGTGAGAGACCTGAGTTCAATTCCAGGCAGAGGGCGAAACCTCGGGCAAGTTTCCTTACTCCACACAGAGCCTAATAATAATCCCTCCAAAACCTCAAACAATAATAAATTGGTCATTTTCAATCGACGACTGTTTGTGGGACATTGCTGTGCGCAATTGGCTGCCGCGTTCGCCCACAAATATATAGTCAATTCACTTTACAGTGTATTCTGTGAAGCGCTTTGGGACGTCCTCCCGACGTGAAAAGCGCTATATCAAATGCAAGGATTATTATTATTATTATTATGTTGCTGGGCTGTGGGAGCTTGTGAAACTAACCCCATGGTGGCCTAATGATTCTGATATGGGAGCAAGGGAATTGGTTCCCTGTACTGAGGTGTCAAAGAAGGAAGAGAGATTTAAATACTTAAGTCATGTCAAATTATTATTATAAATAAAGGACTATTTATCACACGAAAACATCTCAAAAGTAGTTCACCGAATTTTCAGTAAAGTGGTAGTAAGCAAATGCAGCAGCTACTTTGTGGGCAGCAAAGTCCCAAGGACACTCAAGTGAATGAATTGTTTCTCTGGATGTTGGTTGACGCACACACCAGGAGAAATTTCCTTTTCAAATAGAGCCATTAGATCTTTAACGTCCAACTGAACAGGTTGGCGGGACCTCAGTTTAACTCCTCATCTGAAATTGCGTGTGCGTCGGTGGGTATCAGTTATACAACTAACTGGCCCCTTATTCTGAGGAGTACAAAGCTTTAGTGTTTCATTTTGTGTTAAAATTCGCCTGACTGCCAGGAGACAGGTGTTTGTTCACCCCCTGGCTCAGCACTGACTGGGTCTGTATATGTGAGCCTTATTCTGAACCTTACTGACCATGCTGGTGGTACTGTGTGCAGTGTGGTGGTGTAATGTGCAGCACTTACTGGTTACAGGAATTTATTGCCGTGAGCCAGCTCCGAGGCACGACCCAGGGTAAGATCCTGTGCTTCTACGGCCCGCCAGGAGTCGGCAAAACCAGTATTGCTCGCTCCATAGCAAGAGCACTAAACCGAGAGTACTTCCGGTTCAGTGTGGGTGGAATGACAGACGTGGCAGAAATCAAGGGTCACAGGTAATACAGCACCTCTATAACAGGTACTATAACATCAGCAAAACACACAGTCTTATTCTGGCAAGTTACTCTCAGCTACAACCATCGCCTTCAGCGCTATTGTGTTTCTCTCTAGCTGTGTCAAGGGTAAGGCTCTTTCCTGACTGCTTGCTTGATTGCTTGTGTAGGAGGACGTATGTGGGAGCAATGCCTGGGAAAATAATTCAGTGTCTGAAGAAAACAAAAACAGAGAACCCGCTGGTCCTGATTGATGAGGTAACAGTGTCTGAAATAGTTCGAGATTCCCTGCACTTGATAACCGCTCATGGGCTTGTACCAATCCTCATGCTGGATCCAGTTTTTTTTGGAAACATTTGTTTAATTTGTTGTTGATAAAATGTTTACTTTCTCGACAATGCACGTTTGTTTATTACAGATCGATAAGATCGGGCGAGGGTATCAAGGGGACCCCTCCTCCGCGCTGCTCGAGTTGCTCGACCCTGAGCAGAACTTCAACTTCCTGGACCACTACCTGGATGTTCCTGTCGATCTGTCAAAGGTGAGGACAACGCTGGGGCTGGCTGCAACTCCTCTTCATACACACAGGGACCCCCGACCCACAGATAAGCCGCCTACCCGCCAGCAGGCAGACTACACATACGAGTGTACGCTTACAGTCCTGGACATGTACATGCAGTTTCATTCATATGCACACACACGCATGCGATTATTACACATATCTTTGTTGTTCTTGTCAGGTGCTGTTTATTTGCACTGCCAATGTGACTGATACTATTCCAGAGCCTCTCCGGGATCGAATGGAAATGATCAGCATTTCTGGCTATGTGGCACAGGAGAAGCTTGCGATTGCTGAGGTGAGACCCAGGAGTTTATTAACAAATTAGTCTGTTTTAATTTGTCTGGAAAACCAGGCTCGTCCTGAGAACTCTGTTCAGATGTGCATGTGATCTATATTATAGAACTTTAATGTAACATGGAGTCCTGTCGGTCAGTGGTTAGAGCAGTCGCCTCACAAGCGAGAGACCTGGGTTCAATTCCCAGCAGGCGATATGTTAGGGAAGTTTCCTTACTCCGCAAGCCTATGTTTACCTAGCAGTAAGTAGGAACCCAGTTGTTTGTCGATTGGTGGATTACTTTTCCAGGGATAATATTTTGGCCACAAAATACACAGTCACTTCACTTTGCAGTATATCCTGTGAAGCGCTATGAGATGTCTCAAAGATGGGATAAGGCACTATATCAAATGCAAGGATTATGTTATTATTGTTTGCTGTAATCTGGTACTGTTGATGCTACCCTGCCCCTGTCTGGTTTTGATGAGGTGTCTGGTAGCTCAGAGCTCTGGTACACGGTGTAACATTGGATTCTCTCTTGTTGCAGCGCTATCTGGTTCCTCAAGCAATGAATTCTTGTGGTCTGGACAACGAAAGGGTTCAGATCACATCTGAAGCACTGAATGTGCTGATCAAACAGTACTGCAGGGAAAGTGGCGTTCGCAACCTACAAAAGCAGGTGGAAAAGGTACTGGCTTGTCAGTTTTTATACTTCTGCGTCCGCATGGATTCATTGATTTACATTAAACTCTGGGTCAGTTTGCGTCAGTAGCGCCCATGTCAGCGCTGCTGTGAGTGATGTATTTCTTTATCACTCCCTACTCACTAGACTTCCCAACTCTTCCCTCCACAAGCTGTAGATTATTCAAAACTCTGCAGCTCGTGTCCTCTCCCGCAACAGGCTCTGCGAACCTATCACACCGGTTCTTGCCAGGCTTCACTGGCTCCCCATTCCTCAGAGAATTGAATACAAAACCCTCGATCTTACCTTCAAGGCCCTCCACAGTCTTGTTCCCCCCTACCTCTACCTCAGCTCGGCAGACACCGGCCTATTTCAGGTCCCCCGCACTTCCTGCCCCACCATTGGAGGTGGGGCATTCAGCATCTCTGCCCCCACCCTCTGGAACCCAACCCCGCATTCCCTCCGCCTCACCCCTTGCCTTCTTCAAGTCCCGTCTAAAGACATTCCACTTCGACCATGCCCTCCACTACTCCTGACCTCAACACCCAGCCCGGGACAAAAAACCCTATTCTCAAGCTCCCTGGGCTGTCTTTTTCCTACGTGAATTGTGCTATAAAAGTGTGATTTGTTCTTGTTATCCAGGTGCTTCGGAAATCTGCGTATAAAATTGTAAATGGAGAGCAGAGCACAGTAATAGCAACACCCGACAACCTGCAGGACTTTGTAGGAAAGCCCATCTTCACAGTTGAGCGGATGTATGACGTGACTCCTCCAGGAGTTGTGATGGGTTTGGCCTGGACAGCTATGGGTAAGACACAGACTCAAATTAATTGTTATAATAACTAAGAGGCAAAATACTGCAGATGCTGGAAATCTGAAATAAAAACAGAAGCTGTGGGAACACTCAGCAGGTCAGGCAGCATCTGCGGAGAGGAAAGTGAGTTAATGTCTCAGGTCGATGACTGAAATGTTAACTTTCCTCTCTCCAGAGATGCTACCTGACTTGCTGCATGTTCCCAGCAACTTCTGTTTTTATTTCAGAATAATTCTTGTTGTCGTGCGTTTAGTAGTCAAACCAACTAACCTCATATCAGTGACTCTGCAATGTAATTCACACCAACTGTTGGCAAGTCAGCTGCCTCTGTCTGTCATCATACTTCAGACGTGGAGTCCTGTAGCTCAGTGGTTAGAGCACTCGCTTTGCAAGCAAGAGACCCGAGTTCAATTCCCGGCAGAGGGCGAAACCTTGGGCAAGTTTCCTTACTCCACACAGAGCCTAATAATAATCCCTCAAAAAAAACAGAAACAATAATAAATTGGTCATTTTCAATCTACGACTGTTTGTGGGACATTGCTGTGCGCAATTGGCTGCCGCGTTCGCCCACAAATATACAGTCAATTCACTTTACAGTGTGTTCTGTGAAGCGCTTTGGGACGTCCTCCCGACGTGAAAAGCGCTATATCAAATGCAAGGATTATTATTATTAAACAAAACTTCATTTTGACAAAAACTCTTTGAGCTATCGAGTTGCTATAATGAGATGAGTGGACTCTCAATACTAATTCTAGGCGGTGACTCAATAGCTGAAAAGGCTACTTAGTCGTTATGAAGAACACATTCTTTGTGAGAGTGAGAGTCTCCACCACCCGCCCACCACACACACACACACACACACACACACACACACACACACACACACACACACACACACACACACACACACACACACACACACGACAGATATGCACAGACAGACACAGGGTGATGCAACAGGAAGTTTTGGACTCTCCTGGATCAGCAAATAAATGGTTAAGTTTTTTCTAATCCTCTTCAACAGGTGGTTCTACTCTCTTCATTGAGACTTCTCTTCGGCGCCCAAGAACCCAGGAGGATAAGGAAGGTTCTCTGGAGTTGACAGGGCAGCTCGGGGATGTGATGAAGGAAAGCGCGAAAATTGCTTATACATTTTCCAAAGCATTCCTCCACGAGAAGGATACCAGCAACGACTTCCTGACCAGGTCTCACATTCACCTCCACGTACCTGAGGTAAATGTCAGGGAGATGAAACTCAGCCTATTTTCCCTGTTCTAGCCACAAGATCGGACTTGGGCCGTCCTGTTATTACAGGTTTGGTTGTACTGTATTTCCCTATGTAGATTGGAGCTCACTGCCACCCAGGGGAACAAAGGGCATAGTAAATATTCTTAAAAGACTGACTGTATAAAGTGCAGATTCTCATCACTGAGCTGTGAACTTCAAATTCTGTTTGAACAGGGAGCCACGCAGAAGGATGGTCCCAGTGCTGGCTGCACCATCGTGACAGCTCTACTCTCACTCGCAATGAACCGGCCCACACGCCAAAACCTCGCCATGACCGGGGAGCTATCGCTGATAGGCAAGATCCTACCTGTTGGTGGTATTAAGGAGAAGACGATCGCAGTAAGTTACTGATATCTGTCCCACTTACCTGTCCTTTCCCCCACATCTAAAGCTGTCTGTTGTTCCCATTTAAAAGCTGATGTGGATTCTGCCTTAACCATCATTCCAGGCAAGGCATTCTACATCATAAGGCTCCTTTAGGCAGAATAGCCCTCCCTCCCCATGGACCTCTGGGACTGCTTCCCTCCACCACTGGGTACGATGGATTTGTAAAAGATTTCTCTGTGCCTGAGATCAAGCCATGACCTCAAGACCCCAAATGGAATCCTGTAGCTCAGTGGTTAGAGCACTTGCCTCGCAGCAAGATAACCCAAGTCCAATTCCCGGGCAGGGGAAGCCTTAGGCAAGTTTCCTTACTCCACATGCCTCTGTTTACCTAGCAGTAAGTATGAATCCGCTTTTTAGTCAATTGGTGGATCACTTTCTGGGAGTAATGATCTCTCCCCCCCAAAAAAACTCAATCACTCAATCCACGACTGTTCGTGGGTCACTGCTATGCAGAATTGGCTACTGCATTTCACCCACAAAACACACAGTCAATTAACTTTACAGTTAATTTACAGTTGAAGCGCTTTGAGACGTCTCAATAACGTGATAAGGCGCTATATCAAATGCAAGGATTATTATTATAACTTCCCCATTTCCCCATTTACTAACTATCTTAAATCAATGTCCTCTAGTTACTGACTCACCAACCAGTGGAAATAATGTCTCCCTATTGACTATCAAAACCCCTCATATTTTTAAAGACCTCAATCAGGCTCCAATCTCTGCTCATTGGTCAAACTCTTCATCCCCACTATTATCCTACTAAATCTCCTCTGCACCCCCTCTATAACCTTGACATCTTTCCTAATGGAGTGGCCAATACTGGACACAATATTCTAACTGAGATTTAACTAACAAATAAAAAAGTTTTAGCATTACCTCTTTGCTTCTATATTCTATATCCCTATTTATAACTTAAGATTTCATTAGTTTTCTTAACAGCTTTGTCCACCTGCCTTCTCACTTTTAAGGAATTATGCACATTAACCCCCAAGTCCCTTTGCTCCGCCCCTTTTAAAATTTTACTACCCAACATATATAGGGTGACCAAAAAGTCGTGGTAACTACCCGATTATCAAAAAAACACAAATATCAAAATTTCTTTAATTTATTGGACATTCCAATGATATCACAACTTTTTGGCCACTCTGTATATGTTGGGTATACGCCCAGTATGTGTTGGGAATACGCCCAGTATGTGTTGGGTGCACACCCAGTATGCGTTGGGTGCACGCCCTGTATGCGTTGGGTGCACGCCCTGTATGCATTGGGTGCACGCCCTGTATGCGTTGGGTGCACGCCCTGTATGCGTTGGGTGCACACCCTGTGCTTGTTCTTCTTATTCCTCTCAAACTGTGGAGGGAACATCGCCAGACTACGGCATTACCTCACCCCTCACGCTGCTGAAACCCTGGTTCACGCCTTTGTCACCTCAAGGCTGGACTATGGGAACTCTCTCCTCGCCGGCCTTCCCGCCACCTCCCTCCACAAGCTGCAGGTCATTCAGAACTCTGCAGCTCGTGTACTGTCCCGCACCAGGCTTCGGGACCACATCACTCCCACCCTCGCTCGCCTCCACTGGCTCCCCATCCCCCAGAGGATTGATTTCAAGATCCTCATCCTCACCTACAAGGCCATTCACGGCCTCGCTCCCTCCTACCTCTCCAACCTACTATCCCCCTACCTACCTGCCCGTACCCTCCGTTCCTCTGGCTCCGGTCTGCTCCACATCCCCCGCCCCAACCGCCCTACCATCGGTGGTCGGGCCTTCAGCCTCTCAGCCCCCAGGCTCTGGAACTCCATCCCCCAGTGCCTTCGCCGCTTCCTCCCTTTCCTCCTTCAAGGCCGGTCTCAAAACCTTTCTCTTTGACCGTGCCTTCAGCTCCCCTCTCGACTCTCTTCCCCCTCCTCGCTCCCTCCTTTCCCTCCCCTCACCCTGACCATTTCCCCCCTCCTCGCTCCCTCCCTTCCCTCCCCTCACCCTGACCATTTCCCCCCTGCTCGGGTCATGAACCAACTGTGCAGCGCCTTGGGACGTCCTCCTGACGTGAAAGGCGCTTTATAAATGGAATCTTGTTGTTGTTGTTGTTGTCATGGAACTCCCGTCTCTGGGTGAGAATTACACCTCCATTTTGTCGAAGATATGTGCTTGGTCAGAGCGGTCTCACGGACTACCCTCATACATAGTTTTCAATAAAAACTTTTGTGTTTAATCAACTTCTACAATTAAATATAATCATATTCCCGCTTTCGGAGCAATCGTTGCAAAAACCACAAACCTAGGTTAGTCAAATCCGGTTAATCGATTGGCAGATTGCTTTCCAGGGGTAATAATCCTTTCAAAAAATAAATAGATTATAATAATTTGATCACTCAATCCACGACACTGCTGTATGCAATTGGCTGTCGAATTTTGCCCACAAAATAGTCAATTCACTTTACAGTATATTCTGCTTTGAGACTTTGAGATGTCTCGAAGACATGATAATATCTAATCAAGGACTATATCAAATGCAAGGATTATGATCAAAACTATATTACTTAAACCACTGAGCCTCAACTCTTGGGTCCCCAAGGACAAACAAATCGAACAACCTTACCCGATTTCAATCCTCATGTTAATCCCTGAAGGTCGGAGTTTTTCAGAATTTGAAATGTTAGTCAAGCTCAAAAGCTGTCCAGTATAAACTCCATCCTCTCCCTTTTATACCCCTCATGTGCACATGTGATTTTTCTATCGAATCAACCCTGAGCATCTGTGACCTCCCCTAGGATCCCAAATAGTCACCCCTTTACTACCTCACACTGTATAACCTCACAATTGTCGGCATAAAATTTAATTTGCAGTTTCTCTGCCCAATCAGCTAATCTGCATGACCTCCTGAAGTTGCTTACAATCCTCTTCACTTTTAGCGACATTCCCTGCAAACTTAGAAATTGTGCCCCTCATAGCAGAATCCAGTTAATTGTTCTGGAAGCAAAGCAACAATCTGGGACACTCAGTATTTAGCCTTGCACATGCACATGAAGTTGGGGCGATTAAAATGGGTTTGGATTACCAGTCTCCATGCAACCCAGTATCAGCACCAATAGACTTGGCAAAATGCTGCAGATGCTGGAAATGTAAAATAAAAACAGAAGTGGCTGGGAACACTCAACAGGTCAGGCAGCATCTTTGGAGAGAGGAAAGTGAGTTAATGTTTCAGGTTGATGATCTTTAGTCACATCGACCTGAAATGTTAACTCATTTTCCTCTTCATAGATGCTGTCTGACCTGCTGAGTGTTCCCAGTGACTTCCATCTTACCTTTAGAATGGGGATTGGTAGACTGACTTAGTACTCCTGCTTTTTAAGGTTTGTTTCTGAAGAGACTTGATCAATGTCCAATTTCCCCTTTTTCAGGCAAAGCGAGCAGCAGTTACATGTATCATTTTACCGATGGAAAACAAGAAAGACTTTTATGATCTGCCAGACTTTATTACAGAGGGTTTGGAGGTGCATTTTGCTGAACATTATCGGGATATCTACCACATTGTATTTCCAAACCAATGAAATGTTCAGTGCAGATTAGCGACCTCACCTGGGCCCAGCCACCCCGTGAGGTGCTGTATGTGGAAGCAGACGAGACGTGGAGCTTGCCAGTCTTTCGGGAGCAGTGGTGGGAGGCACCAGACCCTGGAATGAACGGGCCGTGTCCAGTCGCTGTGTGTAATCAATCCTGGCCCCGAACAGTCATTATTCAAAACTCCATTTTGATAATGCAGTGTTGATTTTTAAAAAAATCTGAAATAAACTATCAGGAAGGTATTTTGCTGATTATCAGGATGTAAATGAAGTATTTCCAAACCAAAAAGCTGTCAATGCTGTACTATGTGGATGTCTAACCCGGCCATCTTACCTCTTCCTCCTTAGATCATAAGAAATGCTTGATGATAAAAGACCAAGGTTCATCTAGTTCACCTTCCACCTTTCTGGCTGAACAACTCTATATGCTCCCCCTGTGGTGACATCATCCGCAGACATGGGGTTAACTTCCACATGTATGCGGATGACACCCAACTCTACCTTTCCTCCTCTACCCTCAACTCCACGACCCCTGATGTCCTGACAGCTGTCTGTCCGACATCGAGTCCTGGACGAGAGACGACTTTCTTCAGCTCAACGTGTGCAAAACTGAGGCCCTCCTGATTGGCTCCATCAGCGCCTCCGCACCTCAGGCACTGACAGCATCAGCATCCAAGGCCGCACTCTCCACCTCTCAAAGCCGGTCAAGAACCTCGGGGTTCTGTTCGACCCTGAGCTGTCCTTTCTTCCTCATATTCGAACACAACTGGCACCGCCTTCCATCATCTCCGGAACATCGCCAGACTACGGCACTACCTCACACGGCTGAAACTCTGGTCCACGCCTTTATCACCTCAAGGCTGGACTATGGGAACTCTCTCCTCGCCGGCCTTCCCGGCACCTCCTTCCACACTGCAGGTCATCCAGAACTCTGCAGCTCATGTACTATCCCGCACCAGGCTTCGCGCCCACATCACTCCCACCCTCGCTCGCCTCCACTGCTCCCCATCCCCCAGAGGATCGAATTCAAGATTCTCACCCTCACCTACAAGGCCATTCACGGCCTCGCTCCCTCCTACCTCTCCGACCTACTGTCCCCCTACCTACCTGCCCGTACCCTCCGTTCCTCTGGCTCCAGTCTGCTCCACATCCCCCGCCCCAACCGCCCTACCAGCGGTGGTCGGACCTTCAGCCTCTCAGCCCCGAGGCTCTGGAACTCCATCCCCCAGTGCCTTCGCCGCCTCCCCCCTTTCCTCCTTCAAGGTCGGTCTGAAGACCTTTCTCTTTGACCGTGCCTTCAGCTCCCCTCTCGACTCTCTACCCCTTCCTCGCTCCTTCCTTCCCCTCACCATTTCCCCCCAAGGCTCGGGTCCTGACCCAACTGTCCAGTGCCTTGGGACATCCTCCCGACGTGAAGGCGCTCTATAAATGGAATCTTCTTGTTGTTGTATGTACTATATCCCATAATGTTATTTCCTAACAGAAAACTATCCTGTATTTGAAAGAATCAATACTTCCTGCTTCAACCATTTCCCTAGGGAGCCTGTTTCACAGAAGTAGTGTTCACTGAAACAGTGTTTGTGTAGATTAATTCTGAATTTACCCCCTTCAAGCGCAGGCCGTGTCCTCTGGTTCTACTATTCTGGACAAGTTGAAACAGTCTATTATGATCTATAGTGTTTTGCCCCTTTAGAATCTTAAAGGCAGCAATCATGTCGCCTCTCAATCTTCTCTTTTCCAGGGGGATCATGCCCAATTTACTTAGTCACTCCTCATAGTCCAATCCCTTTATTCCCTCAATCATTCTGGTTGCCCTCCTCTGTATCTTCCCGATTTCTCCAATATCCTTTTTGTACTGTGGCGACCAGAACTGTAGTCTCTAAGATGGTCTCACCAATGATATATACAGTGGCAGGATTACCCCACTGTTTCGACTGCTGTTGATCTTTTGATACATCCCAACATCTGGTTTGCTTTACTCACAGCCACAGAGCATTGTTGGGAGAGCTTCAATCTATTGTCAATCAGGATCCCCAGGTCCTTTTCATTTTCCATACATATTATTTTCCTTCTGTTCAAATAATAACCCCTTCCAGGATTTTTTGTCCCCATGTGAAGTACTTTACATTCCTCCACATTGAATTTAATTTGCCACCGATCTGCCCAATTCCCAAGTATGTTCAAATCCTCCTCTAACCTATTCACCTTCACAACCTATCACCTTCATTAGCTTGGTGTCATCTACAAACTTAGCCACTCTACTTGTGACTCCTAGTTCCAGATCATTTATAAAAATATTAAGAAAAAAGGTCTAAAACAGATCCCTGTGGAACTCCACTGGTAACATTTTCCCTTGGCAGAGCTTGTTTCCGAGTGGCAGTTTGGGGATTGCACAATTGTCACTTGGTTCTTTCAAATGAGTTAATTGAAAGTGAAGTACTCGGGCTCTTTTTCATCCTAACCCAGTTCTTACACCAGTCTTACTCCTGATTCAGATCATACTTGCATTTGCTGTAGCACCTTATCATGTCAAGACGTCTCAAAGCACAGAATATATTGTAAAGTGTCGTTACTGTGTTTTGTGGGCGAAATGCGTTAGCCAATTGCAAGATAGCAGTGTCGGATGAAGAGTCGTAGATTGAGTGACCAAATTATTTTTTTGCTCGTAACATCAGCTGATACATGGAGGAGGTAAGAGTTTAAACACTGACACAATTTGCCAATTTTAGTTGAGCTGAATGGCCCGGTTCTGTTTCACTCTGCAATTCTCGCTAACCTATTATCAGCTGTGTATGGTGGTGTGACTTTCTCACCAGCAGCAATACAAATGTACATTTATCCAGTCCTTTCCCAGCAGGACATCCTGAGAGACTGAAAGCAGCAGCATCACTCACAGCCTTTCTCACAGACGAGGGTAAGCTTTCTCAACCCAAACAACTGCAGGGAGAGTCGTCAAAGTGTCCTTAATTCATCACTTTCATCATAGTTAATGCATCTTCATTGTTTGTGCTGACAGATGGGCTGTAGAGCAGAGCCAATACTTTGAGGAGTCTCTTTAACCAGAAAGTCACATCTACAGCTGGAAATTACAGACAACAGCAATAATTCTGAAAAACTTTTATTTGTAATTTTATACAATTTAATCCTTCTTTGCAGCTGCTTTTCTCATTGCAGCCAGGATGTTGCTGAGTTCTTCTCGCTTTCTCTTGGCACGAATGTGAGTACCAACCTGGGGAGAGAACGGCACCAATTAGGGACATGGAGATTTATCACCCAAAGTCACTAACCCGGACACAGTGAAGCTTGGTCTGTACTTGGGTGATCAGTGAAGTAACATTTAGTTTGTGTATCTTCAGTTTGAACTAGCAGCCTCCACCACATCACAGTCCCCCATTTTGCCCCCGCTCAGCACATCCTGCAGAAGCTATTCGCAACCTCTAGTGCTGATCGTATCACACTCCAATCCATTTTGAAACTTGAGGTTGACTTGAAATATTGAAGCATATTTGATTCACCGTTACTGCAGCTGACAGAATTCCACATGATCTGCTTGTTTTATTGCTTCCAAAAATCCCAACCCTCTCGGAGCTGGATAAAAACATGACAGGTGAGGGTCTGTGTAAAAGGGCGGCCTTTGGCTGAGGCTGTGCCATGGGCAAGTTCCCAGAAATCAGGGCAGTTGTTCACCATATACAACACTCTTAAGATTTACAAAGAATGTATAGGAGGGAGCACGGAAACAGGCCGCTCAGCCCAAACAATCCGTGCCAGTGTTTAAATTCCACACAAGTCTTCAACCATTCCTTACTCCCTTCCATTCTCCTCTTTGTCTTTCCAATTATCTGTTTAACCTCTTTGCTGTATTGAGCTGTCTTGTATTAAGTTTGCTGTATTTCCTCTCTGTTGGCTACTCTGTATTTTTCAAATGTTTTTTTCTTTAGCTGCAGTTTTGTTTTCACCTCCTTATTCATCCATGGCATCCCATTATTAGCTAAGCTTCCCTTATTTCTTAATGGAATATATATCTTCGGCACCTTTTGTATTTCACGCTTTATCTTCCATTGTTGTTCAACATCTTTGCCAATTTCTACCTCGGCCAGTTCATTCCTCAAAGCATCATAATTAGCTTTTTTTTCCAATCAAGGGTTACCCCGATCTGCTCTCCCACAATGACACCCTGACCAACCTTGGCTCATTGAACATAACTAGGCTGAGCAGCAGTTCTCTTGTTGGCAGTTTCTACATATTGGTCTTATAACAGGTTTTTGATTTCACACTAAATATGGAGAATGGTTGTACTGGAGAATCTCATGTAATAATAATAATAATAATGTATTACTAGAAAACAAAAGCACTCAGAGTAAAAGTTTTAGGTGAAGAGCCAACAGCAAAGCAAATAGATTTCTGGGATTCACAGCAAGAAGTATATACAGTGTAAATAGTTGTAATTAGCACAACTGAGCAGATTGCCTTCAAATGTAGGAGTGATTGGATTGAGGGGTTTAAGAATTTCAAGGGAGTTGACTAAATATTGAGCAACATTTTCCCTGGGGAGTCAAATCAGTTACTAGACAATATGACTTTAAAATAAGGGCAAGAGCCAAGGATGAATTTGCCCAGCACCTTGGGATGTCCTCCTGACGTGAAAGACGATATACAAATGTAATTTGTTGTTGTTGAATTTCTCGGAGCAACAAGAATTTAGAAATTCATCCCAGAAAGGCAGATATGAGATTGAGGGCTTTAAGAAAGATAGGAAGACGCCTTGGAAGCAAAAATATTGAAATGGAGAAGTGGCATGAGGTGAGGTAGCAGCACCTGATAACATGGTGGCGCACACTTTGTGGCCTCCCCCCATTACAATATCCCTGTTGCGAGCTTGGAAGTTCTCAGAATTCCTGCATTTATTAATGATTGTTAAGATGGGAGGGGCTTCAGAAGTCTACGGAAATATCTCTACTGTCACTCGTGACATGACTGACAGGAAAAGCAAAAGCAGAGCTTAGGCCAAATATTTCCCAAAGTTGTGGGGATGTTGAATAAATAATAATAATCCTTGCATTTGATATAGCGCTTTTCACGTCGGGAGGATGTCCCAAAGCGCTTCACAGAACATACTGTAAAGTGAATTGACTGTATATTTGTGGGCAAACGCGGCAGCCAATTGCGCACAGCAATGTCCCACAAACAGTCGTAGATTGAAAATGACCAATTTATTATTGTTTTGTTTTGTAACGATTATTATTAGGCTCTGTGTGGAGTAAGGAAACTTGCCCAAGGAATTGAACTCAGGTCTCTCACTTGCAAAGCGAGTGCTCTAACCACTGAGCTACAGGACTCCACCAACATGTGACAGTAAAGGCCCTCCTCAGCGCAATGCTATAATTTTCGTACCAATATGCGCTTCTTGACCAGTGTTCTAACCACTGAGCTACAGGACTCCTAATGTAAGATGTTAAGAATCCATTGTGAGTTTCAAGAGGGAAGCAGACAGGCAGATGAGGAATAGAGGGGTGAAAGGGATGTGGGGATAGGACAGTGGGATTGAATGAACACCTTCTCTGAGAGTCGGTGCAGACTCCATGGGCTGAATGGCCTCATTCTGTCCTGCACGTTTCTATGATTCTAAAGTGACTCCTTCACAATCTCACTGAGTAAAACTACCACCTCACTGCTAAAGCCAAACCTCACCTCACTGCTAAACCCAAATCTGAATAACACTGAGTAGTTAAGGTGTTGAACTGTATGAAAAATCGGTGTTTGTTAGACACGTACCCTCTTCTTGATGAACTTCAGAGCGCGCTTATCTTTGGAAACTTTCAACAATTCCATTGCACGGCGTTCATATGGGGCGAATCCACACACCTCACGGATCAGATCTCGCACAAACTTGCTGTGCTTGGTCAGTTGCTGAGGAAGCAAATACAAACCATCAGTAAGTGAAGAGAAAGCAGACTTTTTTGAGTGACTGCGAAGTATTAGGGCTGTTGTAATGATTTCCGAAACCCTCATTTATTACACATGCTAAAGATGGTACAATACTCTTTGTATTTTTAAAATGTGCAGCTCCTTGAATAAGACCAGAGACCAGAATGCTGGTTACTCACCCCCCTCCTGCGGCTGTGTCTTGGCTTTGTTACATTCTTGGTGACAGGATGACCTTTATGAAGGCCAACGGCCATAGGATACCTGATTGCCATTTCTATAGAGAGAACACAGAGCACTAAGAATGGAAACTCAGCATCTTCCTGAACAATACAATTTATATTTATACCGCTCCTTTCACAGCAGGAAGACGTCTCTAAGCACTTCATATTGCTGCATAGGTGCCCGAGTTGGGGGTGAAAGCCAAGGTAGGTGCAGGGGGGGAAAGATGTTCATTTTGAGACAGGCTTGAAATGAGGGCAGGAAGGGTGAGTTCCAGAGAGCGGAGGCAGAATAGCTGAAAGCCTGACCGCTGATGGTGGGACAGATAAGGCAGGAGACATGAAGCTGGGGCGGGAGCAAAGGGAGCAGCTGGGGTTGTAGTTCAAGGAGGTCACAAAGGTAGTGTGGGTGAGACTGTTGAGATTTAAATGCGAGAATGTGGATTTTGAACTCGATCCAGTGGAGCCAAGTGAGGATGGGGGGATGTTAGGCTCACAGAGCCTGGTGTGCAGAGGATATGGGCGGCAGAATTCTAGATAGTCTGCAACTTGTTAGGGAAGAGCTGGGGAGTCCAGTGAGCAGTGAGGTGTAGTGAAGTCTGGACATGATATATGAGTGGATTAGAGTCCCGTTAGCTTGAGATGAGAGGCAGAGGTGGAGGCAGACAATGTTTTGGAGGTGAGGGAAAGCTGAGATGTGGGATTTGAATCAAACACGACACTGAGGTTCTGCACCAGCTCCACAGTGGAGTATAAATCTGTGAACATGCGCCTGAGGTGAAACTGCACTGACAGAAGCCAAGCAGAACAGCCTCTGTGTTGAGGCTGCAAAAAGTATCACACATACACTATATTGGTCCTTAAAATGTTAATACAAACTGCCAATGTCCCATAACAAGTATCCATAGTTTCCAAACAAATACATCTAAAGTCTGTTTAAACATTTGTCTTTTTTGGTCAGTCACATGCTTAAGAATATCCATATATGTATACCAGTATATGTACACCAGAGGAGAATCCAACACATGGATTCTCCTCCGACTGAAACTGAATGCTCACTTTCTCTTGCTTACCCAAATCTGAGTGTTAGACAAAGCTTGGGGACCGCAGAATGTGCAGTGGAGTGTTGCTGGGTTCTAATCAGATAAAATTATATAGCTTGCTGTTGACAGTACTGTCTCAAAAGCTTCAAGTTGCCCCCCCACCCATCCAGGTTGCTTCTCCAGCTAGAACCATCCTAGCCATTAGGGCTTTGGTTCGCAGGGTTAAGAGGAGACAATTTGTAAGAATCCCCGCTGCCCCTGATGAGCCAGGCTGGCCGCTCCGCCAGTCAGCAGTGCCCTGGACCAGCCTGGCTCAGGAAGCGGACCTACCCAGACAACTCAGCTCCCAGTGACCCCACATACCCCGCCCCCACTCCCACAGCAAACACTTCCTTTGGAAGCCTGTACAGTCCTGGCAATTCCTGGAGACCCCCACCCTTTCCCATGGAGACCCCACCCTTTCCCAATACACTGTACTACACTAAGACGCACTGTGCTATGGGCCGGGACACCCCGGGGCTGGGCCTCAGTGACCGGGTGAAGAGCGAGCTCGAGCCGCTGGTCCTCGCTCTTCTTTTTTTAAGGAGGGAAGCAGCACCAGCTCCTGTTTGTCCCCCCGGGAGGCTCGGCTGCTATTCCGAATTCAGTGCCTCGGGTGACGTTGACCCAGAGCCCGGGGTGAGGAGGGGCTCCAGGCCCCCCCGCCGCACAGGCCCCGCCGCAGCAGCAACTGCTAAATATCCCCGAAAGCTGACACAAAACCCAGGAAATGATCCCCCCGCGCGGTGGGCGGGACGGCGCCGCTCCTGTTGCCGGGCAGTGAGAGCCTCCCGCCCGCGAGATGCCGGCGATACCCGACGGATTGCGCGACGGTCGCCTCTTACCCGCTTCTCTCCAATGGCGGTCAGACCGGAAGGACCCGGCCGCGCGGAATGCTGGGACACCAGGGCTTCCGCCGAGGCCGCGCTGGTCACGTGCCGGGCGCCATGTTGGAGGGGACGGGGCTGCCGCCGCGGAGCCGCACTCCCCCATTGGGTCAACGTTAACGTGTTTCTCAATTGTGCTTTAAGATGTTTCGTGTTTCACCCACAAAATACAGTCAATTCGCTTTACAGTGTATCCTGTGAAGCGCTTTCAGACGTCTCGAAGACGTGATGAGGCGCTGTATCAAATGCAAAGATTACCATTCTTCCTCACTTGAAGATTGTCTACAAATACACAGTCACTACACTTTGCAGGACATCCCAGGAAGTTGGCCTGAGGTGAAAGGAGCTTCAGCAAATGCAAGGATTATTATTTATGTTTGACTGCACCGCAGGCTCGTCATCCCGTAAAAACCTCACCTAAAGGGTCATTCTTTATTGTGTGAGGACAGAACATCAGTGGACCTGAGGTCACAGCTGGAGGAGGAGATTTGTTTGTTGACCATATACATAATAAGAAGAACATAAGAATTAGGAGCAGGAGTCGGCCATTCGGCCCCTCGAGCCCTGCCCCGCCATTCGATAAGATCATGGCTGATCTTCAGACCCAACTCTAATTACCTGCTCTATCCCCATATCCCCTAATCCCTCTTTTTTTTTAAATCTATCAGTCTCAGCCTTGAAGATGTTCAAGGACTGACATCTACAGCCTTCTGGGGGAGTGAACTCCATAAATTCACTACCCTCTGAGTGAAGAAATGTTTCCTCAACTCTGTCTAAAAGGCTGACCCTTAATTTTAAGACTGACCCCTGGTTATAGATTCTCCTACCAGGGGAAACAGACCCTCTGTGTCTACTTTAATCCTTGCATTTGCAAGGGTTAGGGTTAAGGTTAGGGTTAGGGTTTTTAAGGATAGGAGTAATGACTGCCATTCTTAAAGGGCTGGGAACGGAGCCAATGGACAGGGAGAGGTTTATGATGTCTGAGTAGAGGGGCAAGGAAGTGGAGCTGGGAGGTAAGGAGAGGGGTTGGGATGCGGTCGAGGAAGTCAAGTTTCATAAAACATTGCATAAACTCAAGATGTCTTAAGATGTCCTAGCGCTTTGGGACGTCCTCCTGACATGAAAGGCACTCTGTAAATGTAATTTTGTTGTTGTTATTGATGTCTGTTGAATTAATGCCGGAGGGTAGGATCAGAAACAGTTTGAAAGAGATACTATACAAGAAAGAAACAAGTGATTATGAAGGATTCAATAAGGTAACATTGATAGGCTGTTTCACCTTATTGGCCAGTCCAATTATGTTATGTTTAGGGCCAATAGAAAATTGCTGAAATATTTCCCCAAAATTGCAGGGAAATTTGTCTGCAACAGTGATTGAGGGTGTGAGGCTGAGCCAGGCTGACACACAGACACATACACACAAAGCGTAGTAATTGAGGGCGATACCTGTCAACCTCATCCACCCTTCCTTCCGAAGGACTTACACATTCGATCCTGAACAACAGGTGTACTCAAAACGTAGTGTTGAAATCAAAATTTATTGCAAGCAACATGATCAGGATAAACAAATGTAAGGATAGCATCAGGATTCTCTGACTGTTCTGCTCCCCTCTGCTCCTACAGTCTCCTACATTCTCGCTTCATCTCCCAGTGATTACTCAAAATTCTGATCCTTATATCCTAAAACTATCCTAAACTTGTTTTCTGCAGAAACCTGAGAACCTCATGAACTGATTGCTACAATGCCGGCTTTTTGCCAAGGACCTCTTCATCTTTTTCCTTGAGCCTCCGTAACTTCCTCTGGGTGCCTTGTATGAATGCTATGGCCAACAGGCATGGCTTTTCTCTGTGTCTACTGCGGTTAACTGTTGCATTGCCAATACATCTGACAATAACCCCTGCACCAGGCTGACAAACACACACGCGCACGCACGCAGACACACACGCACAGTGATTGAGGGTGATACCCACTGTCCCAGGCTGACACACACACACACAAACAGATTGAAGGTGCTGTCCATTACACCAGGCTGTACTCACGTCTTTAGAGAGGGGGTCGCGAGGTTCGGGGGGAGCAGAGTTCCTCCTGGCTTGGAGGAGAGTGATCTTGCTGAAAAAGTTGCTCAAAGTGCTATTGCACAATCTGAACAACACGGGATCACAAGGTCAGTGCCTTGTGATAAAGACCCTTCAGTCCATTTGATTTCATCCTTATTTACAGGATACACTGTAAAGTGTAGTGACTGTGTGTCTGAGTAAAGAAAAATGTCCTCGCAATCAGTATTTTCAATGATATTTTGAGGTGAAGGGCAGCTTCAGGGCTCGAGAAGGAAATACATCATCAAAATAGATAGAAAACCCTCCACTTAAATATACTCCTCCCCATCATTAACAAAGTCACAAACATTCTCTCTTTCTCTGCTGTACTCTGAGATAGAGCTCAGAGAAGGTAGGAAGCTTTGAATCATAGAATATAGCACAGAAGGAGGCCATTCAGCCCATGGTGCCTGTGCACGCTCTTTGGAAGAGCTGCCCAATCAGCCCCACTCCCCCGCTCTTTCCCCATATCTTTGCAAACTTTTCCTTTTTAGGTACCTCTCCAATTCCCTTTTGAAAGTTGTTATTGAATCTGTGTCCCCCACCCGTTCAGGCCGTGCATTCCAGACCGCAACAACTCTTTGTGTAAAACAATGTCTCCTCATCTCCCCTCTGGTTCTTTTGGCAATTATCTTAAATCTATATTCTTGTAGATAGGAAGAACCTGCCAGTGGAAACAGCTTCGCCCTATCTACACTATCAAAATCCCTCATAATCTTGAACACCTCTATTATATCTCCCCTTAACCTTCTTTGCTCTTAGGAGAACAATCTCAGCTTCTCTAGTCTCTCCACAAAACTAAAGCCCCTCATTCCTGGTACTATTTTGGTAATCTCCTCAGCACCCTCTCCAAGAATGTTTTACAATAAAGATAAATGCTTTTGGATAATCCACCAGATGGGGCTGTTGAGGTAGAAATATGATAGCCAGTTAAATCAGATCCAATAATTGCGGTGATAATCGGTGTCCTCAGGTTACCGACCCACCCACCAGTGGAAATAGTTTCTCCTTGTTCACCCTATCGAATCCCCTCATAATTTAGAAAACTTCTATTAAGTCTCCTCTTAACCTTCTCTGCTCCAAGGAGAATAACCCTCACTTCTCTCGCCTCTCCTGATCACTGAAGTCCCTCATTCCTGGTACCATCCTGGTCAATCTCCTTTGCACCCTCTCCAATGCCTTGACATCCTTCCTAAAGTGTGGAGCCCAGAACTGAACAGAGTCTGTAGCTGAGGCCTCACCAGTGTTTTATGAAGGTTTATCATAACTTTTATAAAAGGTGAGTGAAGACATTGTTGATTGCAATTGTTGCTGCAGCAAATATCACCATGAATCTGAACCACATGCACTATCCTTGCTGTAACTTAAATTGTTCATAAATTTGTAAGGCAGGACCATATCTGCAAACAAGAAAAAGTAAACTATTTTACATAAAATGGTTTAAGGGTATTTGCAGTTGTGTCCATTTCATTCCTCCTTCAAGCTATTTCCAATTATAAAGATGTAACAAAAATGATTGCTAATTTTTGGGAATGGACTAAAATAGACTCTAATTCATGGCAATCCTTTCTTATGTTCATGGCCAATAGAAAATTGCGGAAATATTTGTATAGGGGATTTGTATAGGGAAGGTATTTGTGTAGGGGAGGTGGTGTGTGTAAGGGAAGGTGTGTGTGTAGGTGAGGGTGTGTGTGTGTAGGTGAGGGTGTGTATGCAGGGGAGGATGTGTGTGTTGGGAAGGGTGTGTGTGTAGTGTTTAGAAGGTGGGGGTGGGGGTGGAAGTGGTGAAGCAGAGGGAGGGAGGCGGGGGGGGGGTTCAGGATATTTATGTTTTCTTCAAGTGCTCTGGGACGCTATCCGTTATGTTTTCTTCTCAAATGTTGTATCAGAAAAACATCTGCAAGTTACTGTCTGAGTTGCTTTTCTCGAACCACTGGCTCTTAAAATCTCTCCCCAGTCTAACATAAAGAGCATTCCTGTCTCTGGGAGTGCCTTTGCTTTTCACTGGAAATGATTATTCCACATCAATGTTGAAATGTGAGATTATGTTGCACCTGGCCTCTGTGCTAATAAAACACACTGCTGCAACATGTCCTGTAAATACTACACAACATTGCTGTGTTTATTACATTGTTCTAGGGATTGAGGGTGTCAGAGCTGCTGTTGTCAGGGCTTGTCCCTTCCACCAACTGACATTTCCTGCCCCCTCATTTCCTTTTCTTCTCCAGGCTCAACTATTCCAACTCCCTGTTTGCCTAACTCCCGAGTTTCTCCCACCCAGAATTCTACGGCTCGTGTCCTCTCCCCCACCATGCTCTGTGAGCCTATCAGCCCCACCCTCGCTCGGCTCCACTGGCTCCCCATGCTCCAGCGGATCTAGTTCAACAACAACAGAATTACATTTACACAGCGCCTTTCACATCGGGAGGACTTACTAAGGTGCTGGACAATCATTGTTTCGGACCCAAGCTGGAGGTTGGGGTCGGGGAGGGTGGAGGGCAGGGGTGTAATCAAAGACACGGTTGAAAAGGAGTGTCTTGAGACGGGTCTTGAAGGAGGCAAGGGAGGGGGTGAGGCGGAGGGACTGTGGGATGGAGTTCCAGAGCGTGGGAGCAGAGTGGTTGAAGGCCCGGGCCCCAATGCTGGGGCGAGCGAAGCGGGGAACATGAAGTAGACCGGAGCCCGCAGAGTGGAGGGAGCGAGCAGGATGATAGGGAGTTAGGAGGTAGCAGAGGTAGAGGGGAGCGAGGCCATGGTGAAGGTGAGGACCAAAATCTTGAACTGTATTCTCTGTGTGATGGGAAGCCAGTGGAGTTGGGCAAGGATTGGAGTGGTAGGGTCATGGAGCTTGGTGTGGGAGAGGACATGGGTTTCAGAGTTCTGGATGAATTCTGGTTCAAGATACTGATCCTCACTTTCAAAGCTCTCCATAGCCTCTCCCCAACCTAACTCTGTGACCTCCTGTAACCCTACTACCCACCCGCCTCTCCCTATGCTCAGCAAACACTGGCTTGAATATCCCCCGCCCGACCCATCCACCATCGGTGAACTTTCAGCCATTCTGCCCCTGATCTCTGGGACTCCATCCCACAGTCCTTCTAACTCATCCCTTCCCTCTCCACCTTAAAGGCAGCCTTAATATGTATTGGCCACTTTAAGGCACATCTTTTTAACTAGGCTTTCAGTAATTTTTCCCCCTCCCCCTGCCTCGGCTCCCAGTTAGCTGTGCAAAGTGCTTTGAGGTATCCTCCTTTTGTTGAATGCTGACCCATGCTGGATCTGGGGCTGTTGGTGTTCGGGTATGTGAGTAATGGTGTTGGGTCTGTGGGTGTTGGGGTTTGGGTCTATGGGTGTTGGGTCTGTGGGTTTTGGGGTTGGGTCTGTGGGTGTTGGGTCTGTGGGTGTTGGGGTTGGGTCTGTGGGTGTTGGATCTGTGGGTGTTGGGTCTGTGGGTGCTGGGATACAGATACAGATGTGTCACACAATGGGCTGTATCTACTTTTGTGGTTTATTGGAAGGATTTGAATAAAAGCTTCACTAACTAATACAAAAAACACATCCTCTTTATTTGCCCAAGTAATATTTGAACAAAACAAATAAAAACGTAAAAGAACAACAGTAAGGCGTGTGCTCCCACATTCATTTCATTGGGATGAGATCATTATAATACTTTAAAAAGTACAGCTATTGTTTTTGACCAGAATCGAGATGATCTTCGATGATCAAATGTTAGTTCAGAAATATTTAAAGATAGAAATCGTATGTAGTAAAAAATACAACATAGTTTGCAATTAAATCAGAAATTTCTTCAAAATTATTGGTTTGTTTCAAACAAAAGATGTTGAAATTGTGGTTGGACATTGTACAGTACATTGATTACTCATCTGCTTCCCACAAAGACAGAACCAGATATTAAGGCGTGTTACGCTATCACTTTAAACAAACATTCTTAACATTTTAGACAGTTTCCTTTACAGGGAACCTCATATTTATTACTCAACAAAGGTTTCTTTGTCATAGTATCTTTGCTATCCTTTACAGTAGGTGAAGGCAGCACCAGTTCCTTCAGATAGCTGGTCTCAGTACTCAGGGATTGGAGAGTGGAAAATGAATAATAATCCATTCATTTGATATAATGCCTTATCACGTCTTTGAGATGTCTCAAAGCGCTTCACAGAATATACTGTACAGTGAATAGACTGTATATTTTGTGGGCAAAATGCGGCAGCCAATTGTGCGCAGCACTGTTCTACAAATAGTGGTTGATTGAGTGCCCAATTTTTTTGAAAGGATTATAACCCCCGGAAAGCAATCCACAATTGACTAACAACCGGGTTCCTACTTACTGCTAGGTAAACAGAGGTGTGTGCAGTAAGGAAATTTGCCTAATGTTTTGTCCTGCCCAAGGAATCAAACTCAGGTCCTCTCGGTTGTGAAGCGAGTACTCTAACCACTCAGTTACAGGACTCCACAATTAACCACGGTTCTCGCTCCTCATCAGTTGGAGCTCCCCCCCGACCCACCAAACTGGAAGGTGAGTGTCTGGGTGAGAGAGCGGTAAAGAGTCAAGCTCAGTTGTGAATCTCATTTAAATTTCTTGCCAACACAACTAAGCCATCAAGAGCAACTTTCTTAATGTTTATCCCTAAATAAGAGTTTGGAAAGATCCACCATTCACAGTGACATACACGCAGGAACTTAGTGGCGTTATTAATCATCCTCAGTCACCAATCTGCCAGTGGGATCGGCCTCCCTTGTAATTTACATACAGAATATTTGGGTAACAACATTTTTACAGCTGTGGAGGGAAAATCTGCCAGCAGAAAATTTAAATTCAGACAAACTTTTCTGTAGAATAAGCAACTCACAAGGGATTTGATATCAGTTTTCTCCATGTGTTAGTCAAAACACACAGTCACTATAGTTTACAGTTTAGAGTAAATCCTGTTAAGAGCTTTGAGATATCCTCCCAACTTGAGAATCAAACACAAGAATTATTATGATTGCAGCGTGGCTGGTATTGCACTTGGGGGAAATGTTTACTAGCTAACCCAATTGTTTTAGTGGCTTTTGTTGTTAACAAGCAATAGGAATCCACAGAGATTCCTAAAAAAAACACTCGTCTCCAGTCAGATAAAATAGTGGCTGGCAACATATTCTGAAAATCACATGGGTAATTGAGACTTAAGTGGCAGTACATTCTCTAGTATGCAATTATTACCAACTGTTAAAGCTCTGCACAAAGAACTAGATGATTAGTCTAACCAGTTGCAATGAGGAATCCTCCATTTGACACCTGCTCCACTGAACAATTATGATCATTATCTTCCAGTAAAATCTGCTCCAGTCCTATTGGGTGGATGTGCATTGTTTGATTTATAATCTCAAATCTCAGTGGTTCGCTCATTCAAAATAGATTTTTAGCAAATGCATTTGAAAAAAACATGATCATGTTTGTCATTTTCTCTAAGAATACTATCCAAGGTTATCCAGAATTGTATCAAAGCTGTTACTAATGTTTAAAGAATATGTAAATATTNAAAAAATAAACTCCCTCAACTGGTAAATCCACTGCCAAGAGTGACTCTCGAGAATAGCTCCCAGGTTTCTGGGTTGACTTGTCTGATCTCAGCCAAAGCAACAGTATAGAATTTCACAAATGGAGTTCTGGACTTGGCGCACTTGCCTCGCAAGTGAGAGGACCCAGGTTTGATTCTTTAGGCAAATTTCCTTACTCCACACCTAACAGTAAATAGGAACCCGATTGTCAGTCTTTGGAAACCACATTAATAATAATACTGACATTTGATATCATGCCAGGTAGCTGATAAGGAAAATCTGAGGCTTGCAGAAAAAGCTGCTGGAAGGTGTTAACTGGAGTCAGAGTTTGTAAACTCACGTTCGTACATTCAGCACCTAGAATCCACCTTGATTGGCCTCCACAGAGGTAAACAGCTGCTACTTAAACTCTGCATCTCCAACTAATGGAACCATCGCTCAATGGGAAGGGATGTGTGCCCAAGCTGCGGACAGGAAGATGGTGGCAATGCTCTCACACATTTCGTGCTGAGCTGTGTTGCCCAGCAGTAATCTCACAGGGAGTCCCTGGTACCTACCATCCACCTCAAAGCTGCGGTGTTTTTTGGATGATAAACGGCCAACCAGTGACTATCCTCCTAGAAAATGGCTCTAAGATGATGTGTTTGGCAACGGAATATTGCATTGAAGCCAGCCCCCTGTAGTTCCTGAGCCCAGTGGGTCGACAGTATTCTAGGGCACTGCTGTAACAGCTTATCAGCAGGACTTGGAAAGGCAGACCAGTCATTGGGGGCAGAGAATCCTCCCACTCAGCTCCTGTTAACCCTGCAAGCTAAAGCTCTAACAGGTAGGGTGGTCCTAGTTGGACAAGAAGTGAAAAAGCTTGCAGGTAGCGCTCTCACTGGCAAGCTATGCAGTTTTAGCTGGTTAGATCCAGCAGTTTCCCCAACACACAGCTCTGGGGTTCCCAAGCCTTGGCTCTCGCCAACCTGTGCCAAATATTTTCTGGAATTAGATAAGTAAGATGTGTCCCTCCAGGGAGAGAGCATATTCCATTCCAACAATCTATCTCTGGAATTTCCATGTGTAGATGGGATGCATAGTTTGGATACTCTTAAGCATGGTGATGGTTTTCCAAATGTGTCAAAGCACCCGGCTGATCCCCGAAAAATACTTTCCACATCAGGAGGATGTCTCAAAGTGCTTCATGATATTTACTGTGGAGTCACTGTATTTGTGGGCAAATGTTGAAGTGTTCAAGAAAATATAATGAATAATTTGTTTAAGTTAAGAGCTGTAGACTATGTGTACTTTAATTGCTTGTGTTATAGAATAAACAACAAATTACATTTGTAAAGCACCTTTCACGTCAGGAGGACGTTCCAAGACGCTGGGATATAAAAGGGTGACAAAAAGTTGTGATAAATAATAATCTTTGCATTTACAAGTCATACCGTTACAATGTCTAATAAGTCTTAAAAGAAATGATTGTGTTTAGTAGTAAAGTAGATATCAAGCTTTTTTTGGTCACCCTGTTCTCAAAACAGGAGAACTGAAATTTTACAGCCCATTCGGTGCAGATAAGGCAAATCCCTGAGCAAATCCCTTCCAGATGCATTTTTTAAAAATGATGATCTCCGAGCCTGGGTTGGCTGCCCGCGATGACGCCCACTGTACAGCATTACCCTCCTGTGAGGACTCCCGGCCCAGCAGCCGCGCCCTTGGCCGCCCGCCAGCGAGGGGCCGCGCATTGGCGCTAAGATTCAAATTTCGCGCCTCAGGCTCCGCCTCCTCAACCTAACCTGCTGGCAGTGACGTCGGACAAGCCCGGGCGTTAAGCCTGGCGGACGCCAACCAATCAGCGTCCTAAGCACGTTAGGTTGCTCGGTTGACGCAGTGCTCGCCGGGAATTGTAGTTTGCGGTTTCTCGCGCTGGTCTCCGAGGCGGATCCGCCCCGACACACAGTGGAGGAAAAGCGACTCTGAGTCACGCTCCTGACGCTGTAGTCCAGCGGCGGCGGGAGGCGAGGAAGGAGGCAGGTGTGGGAGCGGCGGGGCGGGTGTGAGGTGTCGGGGGGCGGACTACAGGTCCCGGCGGGCCACGCGGGAGGCGCCATCGGTGGCGGTTGGAGACTGGCGGGCACCGGCGCCATTTTCTTCTCATTCAATCCCAAGGCGGCGGTTTCTCGTGGCCGGGAGCTCAGGGACACCGCGGCGGCTTAACGCGGAGAGATCGCGCCTGAGTGTCGAGTCGATTGAGCAGAGCGGCCTTTTTGTGAGGAGATAGATTCTTGCCGCTTGTAGCCATGGCAGCCACTCCGGTCTCCCAGAAGAGTCGGGCCAGCGCGGCCCACACGCCCCTCAGCCCGACCCGCATCAGCCGCCTGCAGGAGAAAGAGGAGCTGACGAACCTGAACGACCGTCTGGCCGTCTACATCGACAAGGTGCGCTCGCTGGAGGCCGAGAACAGCGTCCTGCAGCTCAAGATCTCCGAGAAGGAGGAGGTGACCACCCGCGAGCTGACCGGCATCAAGTCTATGTACGAGACGGAGCTGGCGGACACCAGGAAGCTGCTGGACGAGACCGCGCGGGACAAGGCCAAGCTGCAGATCGAGCTCGGCAAAACCAAGGCTGAGCTGGAGGAGCTGAGCAAAGGGTAAAGCCCCCTCTCCCCTCTCCCCTCCCGTCACCTCTCCCCACGTGCGTTTGTGAATCGCGGTTGTCACTCCACACGCGGTTACAACTGAGGCGACGCTTTTTTTGTGTGTGTGGAATCTCTTTGCTGTCACTTCCCTCCACAGTCCCTAAAGTTTTGCTTTTTGGTATTGTTATAACTGCAGAACAGTGAGTGAGTGCTCGGACAAGTATGAGCAGTCGAAAGAGAGTTGGCGTGCAATCGTGAAGGGTCCAGATCATGTCTGACTAATGTAGGTTACTTTTGGAGTAGGTCACTAACACGGTGGATAAGGGCGGATTATTTATAAGGGCTTTTTAACGTTTCTCACAAAAGATTATCAACAAAAATGGAAGTGCCCAGAATTGTAGGGAAATAGGAGACCGAGTAGGGATAAAGGCAACATTCCCAGATTGGTCGGTGTGACAAGAGGGTGGTCCCGAGATTCTACACTGGGACCTCAGCTTTTCACCAGATATGTCAATAATTGAGATAAAGGGATAGAGAGCTGAATATCCAAGTGTGCGGACAACACTAAGTTACAAAGGGATATAGACAGATTAATTGAGTGGGCAGGACTATGGCAGATAGAGTTCAATGTGGAGTTATCTAATTTGGATCCGAGAAAGACAAATCAGATGACAGTGTTTTCTTAATAATGAAAGACCTGTGGAGAAGCAAAGAGATTCAGGTGTCCAAATACGCAAATCACTGAAACTAGTGCAAAGTTACAGAAAGCAATCAAAAAAGCTAATGCAGTATTGCCCTTTATTTAAAAGGGTTGGAATACAAAAGCAAGGAATTGATGCTTCAGTGTACATATGCTTGGTCAGACCCCACCTGGAGTGCATTACAAATTAAATTTGTACAGCGCATTTCACATTGGGAGGATACTCCAAGGTGCTATGTAGCACATTCAGTTTTGGGCACTACACCTCAGGAAGGATACATTGGAGGCATACTGCACAGATGAACCAGAATTATACTATGGATGAAAGTGTTAACTTTTGAGGATAGCTTGGATACACCTGGTTGGTATTCCCTGGAGTTCAGAAGGTTGAAGGATGGTCAAATGAAGTCTTTAAAATGATAAAGTGATTCGGCAGGATAGATACTGAGAAACTATTTCCTCAAGTGGGGGAGTCCAAAACAAGGGGCAGAATCTTAAAATTAGAGCACAAGGGGTCGGAAATCTGGAATTCTTCCCCCAAAAGGCTGTGGATGCTGGATCAATAGAATTTTCAAGACTAAGATTGATACATATTTGTAAGTTAAGGATATCAAGGGATATGGAGAAAAGGTGGGTAAACGGAGTTGGAGTAGAGATCAGCCATTATGTGGGGTCTTCTTGGAGCTGAACCAGCTCCAAGGTGACATACTTGGCAATGGAATGTTGAAATCAAGCCAGCCCTCCGTGATAGTCTTGGTAGTCTGGTTCCTGAGCAAGGCAGGTCTGCAGTATTCCAGGGAATCACCAAGCATATGTACACTGAAGCATCAATTACTTGCTTTTGTATTCCAACCCTTTTAAATAAAGGCCAATACTGCATTAGCTTTTTTGATGACAGATCAGCTAGCCCTCGACAGGACCTGGAAGGGCAGACCAGTCACTGGGGGCAGGGAGTCATCCCAATGTGGTCCTGTTAACCTTGCAAGCCAAAACCCTAATGGTGGTCCTAGCATGGAATTCTCAGTTTGGTTTGGATACTCTTAAACTTGTGATGGGTTTCCGTGTGCGTCAGACACCCACCCAGCTGACCAAAAAGAAAGATCAACATGATCTCTATTTTGGTGGAAGAGGCTCGAAGGGTTCCTGTGTTCCTAGAAATTCTCCTAGTCAGCTGTGGAGTCCTTTGGGGTGTCCTCTTGGTGTGAAACACGCTGTAAATTGTTATCCATAGCAGATCAGTTGGCATCTGGTTCATTTGATTGTAAGCAATCGCTTCCTTTGTCTGCCATCGTTGGCCTATCACAAAACTCGATGGGAGTATATTATTCGGAGGTGTTTTATTAAAAGCCAAACCAGCGATTAGAGCTCACAGGGAATTTCCCTTGGAGAGCACAGTGTTTTTTGGAGGGGTATTTATGTCTTAGCATTGGATTGGATTTTTATTGCTTAATATTTGAATTGCTTGATTATCCTGTTATAGATTGGGTCCTTCACAGCTCTTGATATGTGACCTATTTTTCAGTAATTTACAATATGCTAAAACATAGCACTTCAATGTAGTAATAATAATACTTGCATTTGATATAGCGCCTTTTCACGTCTTTGAGACATCTCAAAGTGCTTCACAGAATATATTGTAAAGTGAATTGATGGTATATTTTGTGGGCGAAACACAAATACAGTGGTATTCAGAAATATCTTTGCAACCAAAATATTGACTCAAAATAACATAACTCCTGAATTTGTTTGAAACATAAACGAAAAATAGGCGCGGTCTTTATACTCTAGCTACTTTTCAATGGGCTTTTGCAGTATATTGCTGTGCCAATATAGAGATTGTGGGTGTTCTTTTCTCTCCTGGGGTTCAGAGGTCAACCTGACAAATCCATCCATTTCAGCTCCATTACAGTCACTACACTGTTCAGGAATTACCTGGAAGTACTTTGAGACCTTTGATATAATGAGATGATTTATCAAATACAAAGATTATTTTTATTGGGGATACAATCTTAACATCGAGTAACTAAGCAGTCAACCTGTTAATATTAAGGAAATGTTAGAAGGTACACATGTATTTAAAGCAAAGTGATACAGATCATAATTAATATCTAGCTTTAGGAGTGAGATGCATTAAGTCTGTTTTCTCTGCTGAAGACCTTTCTTTTCGACCGCAGCTTTGGTCCCCTTCCTCCCCCTCCCCCCCCGGCTGGGTCCCAGGATCCGTCACTGTAAAGCGCTCTGAGACGCCGTCCGGCGCGGTGGGCGCTATATAAATCCAAGTTGTTGTTTAAAATAAGTCTAGATTGTTTACATATGGTAGTGTTTGCTACGTTTACTGCTCTTGTTGTCCTTGCAGAAAAAATTAAGCTGATTCTAATCTTGAACCAGTTCTTGTGTTTGGTTGTGAGCCTAATGTAAGAGCGGTTTGCAGAGATTAGGACTGATTATTTCTGGAATGTTGTGGTGCTGAATGAGAATGAACGTAAGTGGTCACTCATTGGGGCAACACTACATGTTACAATCACCAAGTATCACAAAGGTCCCAGGTTTATGTGTACCTGATGATGCTTGTTGGATGCATGATCCTGTTCTCACTCATGTCTATGTACATAAGGATTTCTGTTGGGAGTCAGTAGTTAGAGTACTCACCTCGCAAGCGAGAGGTCCTGGGTTCGATTCCCGGCAGAGCGAAACGTTGGACAAGTTTCCTTACTCCACATGCCTCTGTTTACCTAGTGGTATGTAGGAAACCGGTTGTTAGTCGATTGGTGGATTGCTTTTCTAGGTAATAATTCCTTCAAAATAATTTGGACACTCAATCCACGACTGTTTGTGGGCCTCCGCTGTATGCAATTGGTTGCCGCGTCTCGCCCACAATTCACTTTACAGATTTATAATAATAATATAATAATAATTTATTAATATATTAATAAAATAATATAATAATCCTTCCATAGCGCCTTACGTCTTTGAGGCATCTCAAAGCGCTTGACAGGATATACTGTAAACAGAAATATCTGTATATTTTGTGGGCGCAGTGTCCCACAAACAGTTGTGGATTGAGTCTCTTTTCCCTTAAAAGTTGTGGCTGTGATTCTCTATTTGGAGGGAGTTTCTCAGCCACATTGTGTCCTTAAAATGGCAGATCTGTGTGCTTAGAGCTGAAGAAAGAATGTTCTCAGTGTGCTGTGTAGCATTGTCCAAGCCAATGTTGGTTTGATTTCACATGTGGCAATGTGTTTATTTTCTAGCTATTGCTGAATTATAGGTCTGATTCATGTGGTAGTTTATCCTGGTAAAACCAATTTTATTTAGTCCATATGTTTATAATAAGTGTATAAGCTAAATAATAAAATCAGACATTTTGGGATTCTCGTAGCTGGTTCAGTTGATAGGGTGCTTGTCTTTGTCCAGAAGGTTGTGCATTAAAGCCTAGTGTCTGGGTTTTCAGCTCCATTTAGGTTGACACCAGCACAATACTGAGAGTACTGCGTTGTCAGAGGTGCTGTATTTTGAATGAGATGGCAAACCAGGTGGATTTGCCACCTGCCTGTTCAGGTGGATGTTAACGATCGCATGACACAATTTGTGGCCTGGCCATTGTCATGCACTTCATTGTTGTTGTGGGACCTTGCCTTATGCAAATTGGCTGCCTCCCACATTTGCTTACAGATAACTTGATAACAGCTCCCTGTTAGCAATTCACTTTGAGACATTTGACTTTACAGGTGCTATATTGAATGCAAGGATTATTATATCAATTTTCATCTTTAGTTCTGTGCAACGATTTTTGGAGACCTTGGTGAATTTCTTTTCAATATTGACATTGTACATGTGTTCTTATGCACGAGTGGAACCTGTTTAAGCTCTAGGTAAGTGAAAGGTTACGGAGGCAGCGCTCTATTGTCCATTTTGATTAGCTGTTCTGTGGGATGGTTCTTTGTCTGAAGTGGACTGGTCTGCTCTGTGGTGAGAACAATAGCTAATGGGTGAGGATAGACCTGGGAGGAAAAGGTTGATTGGAATACATCAAGGTTACAATGACATGAATGTTAAATCTTAGAAGTGAGAGTGATGAAGTATAGATTGACTTGTGAATAAATTGGCCACGTTATAGTTTACCAGAAGTGCATGGTATTCCTTTCAGAACTGCTCTTATCACCGGTGGTTTAACATTGTAAATGCACGTTGTTGCCTATAAAAGGTACAAAGAAAAAAGGATTGAGGTTACGATGAAATTATGTGAATAGTTGCATCTGACTGTTAGGATGATTCATGTCGGCATTCAACGCAGTGCCTTTGCTTGGTTGCT